AAATAAATATAGTTTAAAAAACTAAAAAAACACGCTTTTAAAGTACATCGAACTAAAAAGATAAAAATAATTTTTAAAATAATAATGAACGAAAAATACTAATATTATTGTGAAAAAAAGCGTGGGTGCTTTGTGCCATATTTTTCGTATATTGAGCGCCCGACGCTTTTATCACAATAATACTAGTATTTTTTGTTCATAATTATTTTAAAAATTATTTTTATCTTTTTAGTTCGATGTACTTTAAAAGCGTGTTTTTTTAGTTTTTTAAACTATATTTATTTATGATAGTGATTTTAATCACTGTCAGATATCATTATACTTGATCCAAATATGTCATGTCACCACTGTGCCGCGACCCCCGTGTGCTGGGTTTTTTTTAAATTAAACATTATCTACATATTTACATCAAAGCGTTTTTTATGATAGTGATTATTAAAAGTTATAATTACTGTCAGATATTATCTTTAACTGTCCGAACTATGCCACGACCCCACCATACTGGGTTTTTTTATTCTACTTCGACTGCCATTTCCACAAAGGATATATTTTTTTTTTAACTTATAGTACGTAACCATAAGCTTTAATTTCACATTTATTTAAAAGACGCAGTATTACCGGAACATTTTAAAAGTTAAGTTGAAAAAATTCTATTTTTTATACAAATTTTCAAGTTTTTAAAAAAGCTTTTCTTAACTTTAATAAGCCAAAATAAGTATAAATTTATATTTATTTCAATAAATAAATAATAGGTAATTACTTAAGGTTTCAATATAAAAAAAAATTATTCGTTCATTTTTAATAAATTATGGCAATTTTTAGAAAAAAAAATGTAACGATTTTAAAAATTGTAATTTTTTTGGAGATTTTCCTCATATTCGAGGAACTAAGGAAATGTCTTTAACTAGATACAATTTGTAATCTTTTGACATATCGTTGAGAAAAATCGGTCCATTGTCGGACCATATCCAGATGTCGGGAAAAAATTTTTTTTTTCATTTGATAGTATATAACATAACCTTTAATTTGATATATGTTTAAAGGACGCAGTATTTCCGGAACATTTTCAAAAGTTCAGTTGAAAAAGATCTATGTTTTTTACAATATTTCAAGTTTTGGACGCCCCCTATATAAGGGGAAATTGTCCAATTTTTATAAAAAGTATGTCAAATGAAAGATGTACTTATAATGTATTTAGAAAAAAAAAATTTGTGCTGATATATACATTTTTCAAAATGTTATAGCATTTTTAAGTTGAAAATTAAAAATCCAAAATCGAAAATTTTAACGCAAAAATAGCGTTTTTTTAACTACGGTAGCCATTTGCGCATAGAAGATAGGTCGTCGGGACAAATTTTTTTTTTCATTTTATAGTACATAAAATAAGCTTTAATTTGATATATGTTTGAAGGACGCAGTATTTCCGGAACATTTTCAAAAATTAAGTTGAAAAAGTTATTTTTGGTAAAAAAGTTGCTATTTTAAATCCCACCTAATGAGTAGGTTACGTGATAGATTTTCAAAAAAATTATATCAAATGAAAGGTAGATATCTAAGGATTTAGTATAAAAAAAAATTATGTTGATTAATTGATTTTTCAAAAAGTTATGGAAATTTTAAGAAAAAAAAGTGAAAAAATTTCGAAAATTAACGATTTTTAAATTTGTAATTTTTTTGGATATTTCCCCCATTTGCGGGGAACGAGGGAATTTTTTTCAATTTTTAAGGGTAATGTCTTCAACTAGATACGATTTGTGATCTTTTGATGTATTTTTGAAAGAAATCGGTCCTATGAGAGCTGAGAAAAAGTGGCAACAGACATAAAAAAAAAAAAAAAAAAACAGTAAAATTAATACCTTCTCTGCTTCGCATCGAAGCTAAAATCAACGTTAAAAAAAATTGTTAAAAATCAATGGGGTGGTAAAAGTTATGTTCCACTAAAAATTTTTAGAAACAAATAAAAAAAAATACATCATAATAATATTAAGACATTCAATTTCACCAACTATTCCTAATCACCCTTGGTTCCATAAACTTCCTCTTTCTCGGTTCCATATATTATCCTTTTCTCGGCTAAGACTTGGTCATAATCGCCTTCCTTTTCATGCGTACAAAATGTCCCTTTTGAAAGAATTCTCCTTTCTGTCCCAAACATGACGATAAAGTTCTCTGCGATTTTCCTCAAATAATTTTTGACTGCTGTGCTTTTGAAAGAAATCGTTCTACTTTATTTAATTATTTATCTCATCATAATATCTCTCCTATTAATTGTTACACTATTCTTAACTCAACTTCTCTCGAGGTAATTTCTTTAGTTATTTCTTTCATTCATTCAACTGGTTTTTTAATTTAACTATTTTTATTGTAACTTTATTGTAATTTCGTTGATGTAAGATCAATCTTACTATTTTTTTATTATTTTTTTTCTCTTTTTATTTAATTGTTAATTTTCTTAATTGTTAAGCTATAATAATACTTTGTATTGAAAGCTAATAAAAAACAAAAAATAAATAAATATTAAGACATAAGTTTCAAATTCAAGTTATTTGAAATTATTTAGTAAAAAAGTTACTGTCAGTTATCACTGATTATTTCAAATTGCTGTGATTAACAATTAATTGTCATTAATAATTATTCGTAAATCAACAGAAATATAATTTCATGTTAAAATACTTCAATTGATATCTAAATGATAAGTGTAAATTATAATGTATATCCTGAGTATTTAAATCTTAATTTAATTATTTGTTAAAATTGTTCATAAGATAATTTTTGCTATTATAGATTAAATAATTTATTTAAACAGAAATTCCATCATATTATGAATTCGTTAAAAAAAATATTTACAAGAAAAACTAATAATGTTTTTGGTATGATACATGTTAAGGCACTTCCAGGTAAATTAAGAAAATGACATTAAATTAATGACTTTTTTATGGTGAAATGTTTAAAAAAATTTATAGGCACTCCTCTATTTAAAGGCAATGTAAATAAAATAGTTGATGATGCTTGCAGAGAGGCTGAAATTTACAGTAAATGTGGAATAGTTAGTTTTTAAATTTTAACAACTATTATAAATATTTATTCTAATTTTTTTCTATATAGGATGGTATTGTTGTAGAAAATATGCATGATGTCCCTTATATACATGCCCAATATGTAGGTCCAGAAATTGTTTCCATGATGACAAGAATTTGTTCATCAATTAGAAAAATTGTACCACATAACATTCCTTGTGGTTTACAAGTTAATTAATGCATTTTAAATTTATAATAATATATTTTTTATACAAATAAAAATTATTATATAGATATTAGCTGCAGCTAATGAAGAAGCATTAGCTGTTGCACAAACTTCAAATTTTCAATTCATTAGAGCTGAAGGTTTTATTTTTGGACATGTTGCGGATGAAGGTTATATAGATGCTTGTGCTGGAAAATTATTAAGATATCGTAAAACAATAGAAGCACAAGACATTTGTATTTTTACTGATATTAAAAAAAAACATAGGTAACTAGTGTTCAACAGAATGAATTATACTATTTATTTATTTTATAAATTTACTTTCAGTGCTTAATTTTTTTTTAACATTTATTTAAAAAAATGTAACTTAATATTTTGATATATGTATTATTTTAGTTCACATGCAATTACTCAAGATGTGAGTCTTATTGAAACTGCAAAAGCAGCCACTTTTTTTTTAAGCGATGGAATTATTGTGACTGGAAACGCCACTGGACATCCTGCTGAACCTCAAGATGTTCTAGGCAAGATAACAATAGAAAATTTCTTCCTAATAACTTTTTTTCAATTTCAATTTAAAGAAATGAAAATGTCTTTCTGTATCTTATAATTAAACAAATGTTATCCACATTAATAAAATTTAGAAAATTTATTTTGATGAAAAATGTTTATAGATTACTCATAATTACATGTTTTGTTTATTAAGTGAATACATTTTTTTTAATTTAAATTTAAACATACCTACTATTAAGACATTACCTTAGTTTGTTCATTGGACATATAAACCTCAAATCAGGTTATTTTTAAACTTTGATCTAAAATAAACTTTTAAGGAGTTACTTTATATTAAATGAAAGACATTTTCTTTATGTAGTCTTAAGAAAATGATTTAAGCTTTAAAGCTATTGTCATAATTTGAATTTTTTAATAGCAGAAATCCACATAAGTTTATTTTATAATCTCTTGATAAAAAAATTGTATCTTTATCATATAATTTTTGGAAGATCATTACCAAAAATATTCTTGCATAAACAAGTTTTTAAAATTGTTTTATTGTTATGAAGAGTTGATGTGAAAACATTGGGTTTTTTTCATCATAAAATTACATAGAATAAAATACAATTTTTTTTAAAAACTATCTTAAAAATGATCTACATAAAATTAAAAAATTATGACCTTTTTTGAATATAGATGTAAAGCAGTCAGTACAAGTTCCAGTGTTGGTAGGATCTGGAATAACTGTATGTAATGTACACAAGTATCTCGGTGTTGATGGATTCATAATTGGTTCACATTTCAAACAGAGTGGAAAGTAAGGGATAAAAATAAATATTTAATTATTATAATTCATATTTATATTATTTTAGATGGGAAAATGAACTTGATGAAACATCAATAAAAAATTTGATGAACCGTATAAATGAATTTTAAAAACTACTTTATTTGAATTTTTTTAAATGTTCAAAGATATAATTTATTATAAAATAAACACTTATGATTTTTATATGTTGTAGTAATAGTAGTTGATATTTAAAAAGCTATATCATTTTTTTTATTTTGTACAACACAACATTAACAAGTAATGAATCTAATATAAAACCAATGTTAAGGAGTGGCATACTTTTGTAGCATTATTCAAATAGTTCACTATATTTTTAGTATCCTTGGTGTAGCTGTACTATGTCAAAAAATATATTGATATACACTATTATAAAGTAGTGATGGAACAGCTAGTTGTTCATTTAGAAAGAACAGAAAAAAATTGCACAGCTCGGTGGTATATAACTAATGATACCTGCACACTGAGACACATTATATTCCAAAACAAAATGTACAGATTGCCCAAATACTAGTTGTGTCATAAAAAAACTCAACCAATATTAAAATATCAAACATTTTATTATAATTTTTTTTGGTTTTAAGACAGAAAATGATTATCAGTTATACATGCTTTTAACATCTGCAATTTTAGTTAAAAGTAAACAAAAATGAATAGTTGAAATAGTGTATCTTGCTACATTAAAAAATTGGAATATAAGTAATCAATTACTTTTTTAAGAACTAGCTAAGTAAGCAGCTCACTAACATTTTTAGTTTGTAGTGTGGCTGTAATATGCAACAAAAAGAAATTAGTTTCCTGAAAAATACTTTAGATTCAGTTAAATTATCTAAGACACTTATTTTGTTAAATTATAAATATTGTTGATAGGAATCACTGGTGTAATGAAAAAAATTTGACATGCCCCTCTTGGAACTCAATGATACACATATATACATTAATGCACATTAATATAAGGAAAAACTCTAAATTATTTAATTGTTAGTCAATATAATATAAATAAAGACTTCAGAAAATAAAAATGAATCATACATTATTATAACTTACTATATTATGGTTAAAAAATTTAAAAAATACAGTTTTGCATAATAATAAAAAAAATTCATAATAAAATTAAATGATAAAAGTATAGTTAAACATACAGAAAGGGAATAAGTGTAATTTAATTGTTACAAAGAAAAAAAAATATAGGATAAAAAAATGAGATCTTATACAAAATAAAACTTAACCACCAGTCATAATAGAACTTGTTCTTTAAAATTGTTTTAACATTAATTTTATTTAAACTGAATTTCTTCCAACTAACTTTTTTAAAGTTGATCCAAAACTAAAAACTAGATTTTTTGCTGAAGTCATATATGATATATTACAATCAGGTCTTGCAACAGTTGTATCCTAAAAATGCATAAATATAAGCAAAATTTATTAATTTTTATCAAGAAGATTGATTTTTTGAAATTAAAAATAATTTTTAAATTCTAACCTAACAATTATTTGTACTTTCAACATATACATTAAATTAAAATGTACAAATTTTATTTTTTAAAATACACAATTATTTTGGTTGGGTTGGTTTTTAAAATTTTAAAATTTAATTTAAGAATTACCTTTTGATCATAAGAAGATTTAGCTTTTTTTGAAGGGCTAGAGTAACAATTTTCATCATTTTTACATTTATCTGCAATGCCTTTTTTTCTTTTGACTAATTTTAAAGGACCACATCTTTTAATTGGCATTAAAGAGTTGGCTTTACACTATATAAAAATAAATTTATTTATAACAAATAACTATATTAATTTATTTTCTTATACATAATTTTTAATACACAGTGCTATTAATTGGATTTAATAATAAATAAACACAGCTAGGCATTAATAAATTAATAAATTAAAGATAAGCTAAACTTTTAAGCTAGAAAAATATTTAGATTTAATATTTACTTAATTTATTTATTAATTATTTTACACATTTTTTTTAGTTTTTTCATAAAAGATATCTTTATAAATTAAAATTCTAAATACTAAAATATATTAATTTAATAAATATTAGTTTGAAAAATATTTGTCTTTGATATTCAATTTTTTCCACAAATAATTTTAGCATCCATTTTAGATTCCTATTGTTTAATATCTCTGAAACTTTTGTACCAGACAAGTGGCCTGTGTCATACAGGTATTCTTGTAAATAAACTCTATTAATAAATACATGTCAACAATATTGCTTACAGTAGATGTTTAATAAATAACCCGCATACTAGTATGAATATAACTTTTATAATAACCATGGAAGTTTCTATATTAATCTGATTGAATGTTAAATACATAGGGAAATAACTGTTTTTAAAAATTTTGAAATATGATTTGTTGCATAAAAAAAAATTAAGAAGGGAAAATCACATGTACCCTATGCTTATGATATTTCTATAAACATACTATTCCTTGTACACATTTAATTTAACTTATTAATTAATGAGATTTTGTCAATTTAACTTTAAACATAATTTATTAAAAAATTATAGATTAATTTCAACTATTAACTCAGAATTTTTTTCAATGAACTTAATTTTACATAGATAAAAAATTCATTAACTTGTCCAGCATAGTTAATAAGTACTTTTTGTTATCTCATCAATTACTTACATTATTAATAGCTTGTTGTAACATTTCTACCCAAGAACATGTAGAATGAGGAGCATCCATTGTATAAAACACTAATTCTATTGATTGACAGCTAATAGAAAATAATCCTCGTTTATACATTATAGATTTTGCAATACAATTATTTAATGGTAAAACTCGAAGGCAGTTTAACTTATCAGGATCAACCCACTCTTTGCAATACAAAACCATGTCACTCAATAGTATTAAATATCGAGGTACTGATGTACTTCCATCAGGTGACACTTTCATTAAAGGTCCTTCTTTTATCAGTTTACGCCCAGGCAACACAATATTAACCTTACCACAACCTGATAAACTATGCTGAATACTAACTAAACGAGACATATTTTCTTGCTCTTGTACCAAGTTATTGATATGGTCAGCTACTTTACTTATTTGATCGAGAGCAGCTGAAATAGAATAACTCATAAATAAGTTCAATAAACTATTCAAATCAAGAAAAGGATAAAAGATTTAGTGCAATATTACATACCTAATATAATATTCAAAAACAACATCAAGATAGTATGAGATAAAATAAATAAAGGAGGTTGTTTTTTCTTTGAACATTTACTATCAAAATAATATTTTCTAGTAAAAAATATTATTTTATAATACACTTATAATTTTTTTTACTTTTTTTTATTAATTCTGAATAATTTCAAAATTATCAGATATGTGATATTACCAAGATTGTTTTGGGGTACAATTTTATTAGTTAAAAACTTAAGTGAATTTTAAATTTATATGCTAGTAGTTATACTAAAATCATATTCATAAACAAAATAAAAGTTATCATAATACAAAAATATTGCTAATTTTAATAATTTTTAATACCAAAAAGAAGTAATCAAACTTTAAAGAAATTTCAAAATTAGTCAACTCTAGATTTTTGTACATTTAAATTTTAAAATAATTTAACTCGTAATGTTAATTAAAATAAAAAATGATAAAAAAAAATTAAAAAATTATTTGAAATATTAAGCTAACTGCATTGTAAGTTAATTAGGAATATTAAAAGAATGTAATGCATAGATTTTCTTTTAATGTATATAAAGATACTTAGTATAACTGTAACTTTAAAAGTAAAATTTAATTATTATTAAAATTTGATATTTTATGAACAAGGATGTTTTTTTATAATTCTTTATTTAACTGTATTGAACTGACTCTTAAGTATAAAAGTAAATAAAATTAGTATATTGTTAATCAAATAAATTAAGGAATTCATTTATACCTTTGATTTCATTAAAGCTTTTATGATCTTCTGGAGTATAATTCAATAGTTCTCGTAATAGTAATAAATATCGTGGTATTCTTTGAATTGGTGTTATTAATAAAGAGTTTAATTTAGCAGAAACATCAGGTCTAGTTTCTTGAGCACAGATAAATCTATGAAGTTTTGGATGAAGTTTTGGCAAATCCTATAACAAATTAAGTATCATAAAGATAATATAAACAAGCAAAACATAAAGAATAATATGATATTATATTATAGAATATTAATATCAATATTACTCAAACATTGATTTTTCTAATAAAATTTTTTTAGCTTCGATGTGAAGCTGAGAGGGTATTGGTTTTACTATGTGTTTTTTTTTTTGTGTCTGTTACCACTTTTTCTCAGCTCTCACCAAACCGATTTCTTTTAACAATACGTCAAAAGATCACAAATAATATCTAGTTGACAACATTACTCTCAAAATTTGAAAAAATTTTCCTCGTTCTCCATAAATGGGGAAACCTCCAAAAAAATTACAGATTTTAAAATTGCTAATTTTCGAAATTTTTTTTACTTCAAATTGCCATAACTTTCTTAAAAATGAACAAATAAATGTAATTAATTTTTTTATAGATGCTTGATGTCTTTACCTATAATTAGGTATTCTTTTTTTTATGAATCTGACCCTTAATCTGCCCAGAGGAAGGGATTTAAAATGACAACTTTTTCACAAAAAATTAACTTTTCCAACTTAACTTTTGAAAGTAATCCGGAAGGTCTGACACTTATATATATATATATATTAAATTAAAGATAATGTAATGTACTTTATTATGAAAAAAAAAAAATTTCGGACTTTATTTTGTCTTTACGGTGAAAATGGCTACCAAATACTATTTTTGTGTGAAAATTCTCAATTTTATTTTTACATTTTTAACTTTATAATGCTATAACTTATTGAAAAGTGTATGGATCAACACAATTTTTTTATGAGAAGTAATATTTTTTAATAATCCCTTTTTCATTCGACATACTTTATCTTAAGCAGGATATTAATAAGGAAATAGCAGATCATGTAACTTTTGGAATAATCCACCAATTTTTTAAGATTAAACACTATCTAAAGATTTGCATCGAAGCGTTTTTTTTATAGTGATTTTAATCACTGTCAGATATCATTATACTTGATCCAACTATGTCACGTCACCACTGTGCCATGACCTCCATGTGCTGGGTTTTTTTCTTATTAATATTAATACTAGTATTTATAAATTAAAGTTAGGGAAAAATAAATTTTATTACTTGACTTTAAATAAAGAAAAAATCTTTTTTTATGAATATTTATTGATTTATTTATAAAAACGACTTTGTAAAGACATCATAATAAAATTGAGTTGTTGTAAAATTATACAATTCACAGACTTAAAAATATTAATAAAACATTCTCTACTGTTAGGAAGTGTTAATATTTTTAGTAAAGACAGTCATTTTGGATGTAATAAATCTATTTCAGAATATTTTTATGTATTAATAAATAACTAAAAAAAAAAATTTGTTTTAATATCCAATAAATTAATTAGCCTCCATAAAAATTAAATTTTAAAAACACTTTTACACCACATTTTAGTTACGTTAAATTACATACTCAAATTAGAAATATTGGAAACTATAATTTTGATGTGACTAAATAGTCGATATGTTAAAATTAAATTTAACTACAAATCTGTTGAGTATAAATAATTCAAAATGAGATTAAATCTTTCACTTATAGATAACTTATGATACAATTATTTTTTATAGACATTGCAATAATAAAAATAAATATATTCTAATGTACTTACTTGTAAAGTATCTATTACATTTTTGTAATTAAATGCATAAACAGAATATAATTTTAGAAATGGTGCAGTACTTAAGAATACTTCACCAACATTTTCTTTAGCTGGATGTAATTGAACTAATAGTTCTTTATTCACATTTAATATTGTTTCAACATTGCCAAACAATTTACTTAATATTTGATTAGATGCCAATTTCTGTTCTTCAATTGGACGTTTGAAGTACTAAAGGAGATAGAATATTGAGAAAAACTATTATAATATATACAGAGTGATTACTTAACAATATCTTTAAAAATATCAAGTATAATAAAATTTTTCTTTTTAGAAATTAATAGTATCCTATATTTTATAACTCTAAAAAAAATGTACTTATCCTCACTTGTTCCTCCTTAAATTATATTAACGTAAGTTTTTTAAATGGTAACATAAATGTTTGACCAGTTTACAAATCAAAAAATGATCAATAATAACTTTTGAAACAGTATTTTAAAATAATATCATTTTTTTACCAAGACAAGAGGAATTGTGTTTCATAAATGTATAGATATAAAAATTAGTATACCCATACTTTACATAAAGTGTTTATATTAGAGAGTTGATAATTATTAAAATGTTGATCATAAATTGTTAACTACTAGGCAGTTTCTTAGTTAGATCATTTTTTTACTTTCAAGCTAGTTAAACATGCTTTCATTAAAAAAAATAAAGTTGACACTTTTATAAGTTATAAGGAATAATACAAAAAGTAATTAACAATTTTTAAATCAAGAAATGTATGTAATAAATGTAACATATGAGAATGATTTTTTCAAAAATGAAATTTAATCATTTTCTTCTAAAAGAATTGCTAATTAGCAAATTGAGATGCCTAATAATTAGGTAATTTAATCAATAGTGGATAAAATTGTTTTGAAAGTCAGACAGACACAATCATATTTAAGAAATGCTTAAAAATTATTAATTTTAAATCCTTACAGTAAATTCAAAAAAGGTTTACAATTATCAACATGCTAGACTCTGCAGACTTCCTAACATATTTTAAAACCCCTTCAGTGTAAACACAACAAACACATTTACAGATTAAGGCCAAAATATCCTTACACTTGACTAAATGTAAAATTTTTTCAATTTGCTATCAAATTGGAAAAATGTTAGTATTTAAAGAAAAAAACATCAAAAGCTAAATTGTTAACTAATACACAAATACTAACCGTTATCAATTTATCTAATTGATGAATATAACTTGTTTCAGATACACATATTTCTTGAATAGCTCTGGTTCTCAATTTTGCTATTCGTTTTTCATTATCATCACTAATATGATGATCTAAATCCTTTAAAACTGTAAAATAAACATTTATAAAAAAAATGTTAATGAGCTTACAAAACAACAATAACACTTCAGTTTACCTTTTTGTTTAGTTTTTGCAGTAAGTATATTCTGTTGATCCAATACTACTCGAAGTTCTTTTACAAAATTATTTGGCGGTGTCATCGGAACAAATGATTCTTTATCCATTTTTATTACACCAGTAAAGCAGGAATTTACTACTAATAATTACAAATTTATTGGTTTGAGCATTAATTCTGTTTTTTAAAAATAACCAGAAGAGAGTTCAACCTAGTATCAAAGAGTTTTCAAAAAATTTATAGCAATTTCACAATAAGAATTACGGAAAAATAACAAAAAAATACGTTATTAGATACAGACAGTGCGGCCGTTTGAATTTTAACACCCTTCTTTACCAATAAAAACGATTTTATTATCACAACCCACTAAAACTAAGTTTATCACACTGTATTTAACTCAATTTTACCAATGGTTACAAAAACGGGAATTCTATCAAGTTTTCTCTTGTTCTCCTCTCTCATTGACATTTTGAGTCGATTGAATTAAAAACTACCTACCAAGTAGGTCTTGCGCACAACGTCGTAGCAAACATCTTGCGTGTTGTTAATTTTTTAAAAATAACCGTCAACAGTGAAATTATTTTGTCTTGCATTTCCCATTGTTGTACCAATTAACATTTTATTTTATAAGTTAATGACTAGTTAATTGTCTGTATTACAATCCCTGTTAAGTGTTTGTTAGTTTATTATATTATATTTAAAAGGTATTTTCTATTACATAACTTACGTGTTTAATTAATTTACGTTTTATTAATACCGTATTCATTTTCCAGCTATCGAGTGCTTATAATTTACCTAGTCATGAGTTCCACTAATAAATCTAAAGATAATCGATTGTCGAAGCCTACAGTTACAACATCTCTTCCTCGACGAACAGTATGTCTAAGTAATATGGCATCAACAAGTTCGTCAGTTGTTCAAAAACCTTCTTCAAAATTGCGGCGGTCTGTGGCTACTTCTGTTAACAAAGCACCTACAACTGCAATCATCAAAACACCAGATTTATTACACCCACCTAAATTTGGTGGACAACAGATGGTGAATCGTAAACCTGATCTTACAAAAAATTTACCCAGCAAGACTGTAGATAAAAAAAAAAAATCAGTTGAAGAAAAACCCAAGTATATTTATGTAAAAATTTATTTTTAATAATACTTAGTTTTAATTTTTTTGGTTTAGATCCCCTCCAAAAAATACATTTAAAATCCCAACAGTTGACAATATACCCAAAAAATCAGTATCAAAAATGACAACAAGTGTTAATCAACTTCAAGATAATTTAAAAGCCACTAGCTTACATGACAAGTCAGATAAAGATAAAGAAAACAATAAAAAAATGGGCTTATCTACTAAAAAAGAAGAGTATGCTTTATCTTAAAAAGAAATATTTTAATAGTTATATTTATTACAACTAAAAAATTTAAATATTTTCAAATTATGTGTAAAATTGACATTTAGATTTATGATAACATATTTTTATGATCATGTTTAGAATGAAATGGTCTTTAGATAATTTTGATATTGGAAAAGCGTTAGGAAAAGGTAAATTTGGAAATGTCTATTTGGCTAGAGAAAAAAGCTCCGGTTTCATTGTTGCACTTAAAGTGCTATTTAAAACACAAATTTTAAAAGCTAATGTTGAACATCAACTAAAAAGAGAAATTGAAATTCAAACTCATCTCAGGTTTATTTGTTTATTGTTGACTTTAGATATAGTGTTTAATATTCATATGATTATAGACATCCTCATATAGTACGAATGTTCGGTTATTTCCATGATGATGTTAGAGTATATATGATTCTAGAATATGCTCCTAAACAGTTATATAAAGAATTACAAGCTCAAGAAAATAAACGTTTTTCTGAAGAAAAGTATGTATATAGTTTTAAACTGTAATTATCAATTTTTTATTGGTAGATATTTTGTAAATTCTTAGACAATTAAAGAAAAAATGACATCTTACCTAATGATTTATTCCTTGATATTCATGAATTTTAAAGTAATTTATTATTAATTATATAAAAATAATTTCCTTGAATATACATAAAATTTTATCTGTCATATGTTAAAACTTTTAAATCATATTTTTTTAATTCAATAACATCCTCAGTGGCATCAGAATTATTTTTTACACTAGAGAGGGACTAAAATTTAGTTACCTAGATTTTTACAAAGCTAAAAAAGCAAGTTAACTTATTATTTTTAGTGATCTTTTAAAAATATTCAGTAATTTATAAACTTTACTGTTGAAATGCATATTATTTTTATTACCAGAATAAATTTTATAGAATTAGCTATAATTTTTTATCTAGTTCAATGAATAAGGCATTCAAAATAAAAATTTTGTAGTATACTAAGAAAGTACTGAACAAAAAACTTTTAATCTTTGATAAAAATATTACTGTAATTTTACATTGGTCAATAAAATTTGCTAATCTACAATTGATAATATAATAACAATAAATATAATTCTATGGAATATGACAAATTTTGAAATTGATAATAAACATTTTTTTTTAATCTAATTATTAAAGAAAATTAACACAAGTCCTTAGCAATAACATATTTTTTAGCTATAATTTTTTTGTCAGATTTAACTTGTTTAGGGGAGGTGAAATAATACTTTTGCTGGTGTATAACTGGCTCCCATTTCTATCACTACTGGATATGATAATTTTATATTTTCTTTTATAAAATTATATAGCCTAATAGAATTTTTTTATAAAATTGTTTAACATTTTTTATTAGATCAGCTACATACATTAAACAATTGACTGAAGCATTAATATACTGTCACAATAAAAATATTATACATCGGGATATTAAACCTGAAAATCTATTGTTATCTAAAAGTGGAGATTTAAAGATAGCAGATTTTGGATGGTCTGTGCATACACTTGATTCCAAGTAATTAAAATTTAATTAAAGGTATTACTTTAACACAAATTATTATTTGGGTATGGTTTGATCCCAAAAATCAGGGTTTGTAATATTACTAAAAAAAATAAGGAAAATCATCAATTAGTTACTTTTCACACTATAAAGACATAGACTATATTTAAAAAGTTATTTATTAAAAATTATGAAAATAAATGGAAATTTTATAAATATTTCACAGTCATTTTATTGATATTTCATTTCACATTTGTTTAAGACGTATGACATTATGTGGCACTCTAGACTACTTACCTCCTGAAATGGTTAGTGGAAGTACCCATGATAAATCTGTTGATGTTTGGAGTGTTGGTGTGCTTTTATATGAATTTTTGGTTGGTAAACCACCATTTGAAGCACCAACCTATGAAGAAACTTATAGAAGAATTTTACAAGCTCAATATATTTTTCCACAACATGTAGCTCCACTTGCGCGTGATCTCATTTCAAAAGTAATTATCAAATAATTAGTTTGAAAATGTATATTTATTAATTATTCTTATCTAGTTACTGAAAGTAGTTCCTGAAACTCGTTTATCTCTCCAAAGTTTATTGGAACATGATTGGATAAAAATTCATACAAAAGTATCTAATAATCAAGTATTTAAATAATAGGTAAAATTTATCACAAAGTCTTCTATGTTTTGCTATAACTATTTTTGTTGGATAGGCATATTTTGTAAATAACATATATTTTATGTAATTTGTGATTTTGTCACCTTCTGGAGACTGCAATTTTAATGAATTATATATAATGTAGTTTTATGATATGATGAAATTATTAGTGTAACAAATTGTATCCTCTAAATTAACATTTTGTTCTAATTGGAGACATTTCATTTTTGTCTACAAAATATTAAGTATGATATTGTTTATATTAAAAAATTTAATTAGATGTATAGTTATATATAATTGAGTGAAAAAATGAACAATTAATAATTCTACTTGAATTAATAAAGTGGAATTTTTTATAATATAATGAAGTAAATGGTATACTATTTGCAATGTTTCTAATGTAAATAAGCAAATTATATTTCTAATTAAAAAGAGACTTTCAATGTTTTTACTTGTAAAGATAATAATTTTCTTTCACTGCTCATTTTTATATGTAAATAAAGTGTGTCAAATTAAACAGCGTACTGTGATTTATGTTTTATGTATTTTTTTATTGGTTGACACTTGTGCGTAAAATAACTTATAATTATTTGAACTGTATAGAAAAAAAATATATTTATATATAACCAAACATAAAAATGTTTTGATTTTTATTCATATCAGTGTATATATATATATTACAAGAAATTTGTAATACTTCAATTTGCCTCTTCTTAATATGCCTTTGCTCCATATTTTTCTTCATTCTCATTTTATAAAACTGTTCTCAGGCTTTCGGGAAAAAGTTTATCTGAAGTTAAGTATACAAATATATTAACTACTTTTTTCAAAAATATCATTTTAAAGTTAATATACCTTTTCTCCATTTTTGACAAAACATTGTCTAATTACTCGACCTGCTACACATTTTTCAGTGGATTTTGGATCAATAATTGCTAAATAAAAAATAAAATCTAAGAATAACATTTTTAAAGATAAGTTATTATTTTTACCTTCCTTTTCACATATTTCAATAATAGATATCGCTTTTTTTAATTCATCAGGTTGATTAGTAAATCTTATTTGTGCCAACATTTTACCATCTGCTACACTAAATTTATTATTCTTTATTAAGTTCAGATTTTTATATAAACATTCCAAATAACATCTCTGCTGCTCGTTCTGTGGGAGAACTGTGTTGCTTACTAATGCCATTATTTCCTGGGGTGCTCGTAATTCATCTTTGCATTTTACTGCAATGGTGTTCAATTTCTGTTTTAACGCCAAATGTCCATCAGTCAACTGGATTTGAAAAACAATACTTGAATAATAAAAAATTATATCTAATTTATTAAATTACATAGACTTTTTAGATTTACCTTGGGTTTAGAAGTCGTAATATTAACATTCAAACTCTTTTTAGTTGTGGGTTCAGTACCACTAATTTTTTTTGTAGTCCAAGTAGAGGTGTTATTTAAAGTTACATTGCTAGTTGACCCATGTGTGTGATCTTTAGCGTATGTTGTAGACGATACTGGTAAACGTGTAGTGGACGTTTGAGTTTTAGTGACACCCGTGTAACAAGTGGATATATTACATGGATCTGAACCCTACATTTTATTAAACAAATTATATATATAACAAGTTATACTATAATAAAATATCGTTAGTAAATTTTTTAATTTTCAAAAAAATATTAACGAATTTATTTTAACCGAATTATTTATACAAAAAATTAATAAGTCATTGATTATAATTACATTCTCCTAATATTTTAAATAATTCCGTTAAAAGCTAGATAAAAAATTTGCTTAGCATACCTGTACGGCAACCAAAGCGACCAAAAAGGTTGCTGTGGAAGCAAACACATTCATTGTTATAATGTAAATTTGATATAATGCGTAAACAGAATATAGTATATCATAAAGTTATTGACACAAAATGTACAGTATATTAAATAGTACTAGCATCTGTTAACGTCTTTTATAGCCTACCTTTGTCATGGTGTTATGATTATGACCTCTAAGTAATGAACCACCTAGACCAAATTAAAGGAAGGACATTTTCCCCCCAAATAATTGACGTCCTGTTTGTATGCATGTGAAAAATAAACTTAATTGACGCGATTTGCCGTTATAAAGTAATTCAATTGGGAAACAAACAAGTAAATCAATGATTTTGCAACTAGTTATTCTAAAAGGGATAGGGGATCCTACTTAATCTTAAAAATCACGAGTTAATAAGTGGTATCTCAAATTGTCCTTAATTAATACCATTTATACGTAAAATAGACTCCAAGTACTTACTTTATTAGGTTTATTAGTGTTAGTAATCAGAAGTGTCATTTCAGGTTATGCTAGACTAGAGCAAACTTTTGACCAGTCTATCATTTCACAGAGCCGTTCGCTTCACTCGCAATTTATCTCCCTTAAATAAACGACTAAACTAATTTTATACAAAAAAAAACATTTTCTATGAATGACTTTTAGATTTCTCATTTTTTTTTTTAGAATTTTAACATAAAGTGTATTTTTTAACGTTTTTGCAAGATCGTAGACTTTTGATATATTATTTTATTTATTAAAAATAAAACACTTCACAGTCAAATTATTGCACATATAAAATCATAAAAATGTATAATTTCGAATCAAGTTATAAATGACAACAGAAGATTGGACTATCATGGGGGGATAAAGGGATAGTTCTCACCATGTTGAAAATAAATGTATGGTAAAGATGTATTTTATCAAGTCCCCCCTTAAATAAACACTGTTACTAATAAAAGTATGCCAAGTTAATTTAAAAGCACATATTATATAATGACACTTAGTAGGCCCCTCAAATGGAAAGCAAATGGTTCCATGCAGCGCTGCATTTAGAAATGTATCATCCAGGGTACTAGATTTTGCCGCTCTAGGAAAACTTTTGAATTTGTTCTCTCTCAATTTTTTAATGTGATAAACAATAAAAAAAAAACATTTCGATGATATGATATCCACATGTTTTAGTACTAATAATACAGCAAGTATTTTTTTTAGTATCGCTAAACCTATTTAGTATACAAACCTACCATCTGGGACACGTACACCCAATGCTTCCTAATATTGGCATTCTAATGAAATTAAATTTTTGTTATTTAAAAGGATTGTTTAAATTTTAAACTATCCTCCATCTCCATACATGGTAGTGAAGGGCTGCTATATTTTTTTTTTGCTTGACGCTTTTTTATAAGCAAAAAAAACTTCAAAAATCTATTGTAGCGTGATAATACTATTAAGAGTGTTCCACATTAACCTTCACCCTGGGTGAAAGTTGCTTCCTTCCTCTGTAGCCAGATGAAACCTTTTATATAATTAAAAAATAATAATTTATAGTTTTTTAGTGAGATATAAAGTTTTACTAACAATAGAGAAAACTACAGGTTCATTAATGAACGTGTAATAATTATGATATTTTAACGAATGTATTTGTTGGATCAACAGAACAGTGGCGTATTTAAAAAAGATGTGGTACATAAGCACGTGTCTGTTCCATTAACAATGCTATGTTACCATATTAATTTTAGATAACTTTTTTTTACAATTTGAATAAATTGTAAGCAAAAACGCCATTAAATTTTTTATGGTGGCTGATTCGTTGAAAACTTTATAGTTTTTATAACTTTTTTAAACATTTCTTAAAATGCCCCTGAACTAGAAAGTTTGTTTATCTTTGCATATTAATTATATTAAATACATTATACATATAACAATATTTATTTTCATGTACATGACGTACATACTCGTATATCTAGTGAAATATAAATTAAGTAAAGATGAAATAAAAATTTGTATACTGCAAATAACGCTTCTGAAATATATATAATCTATTAATAGTAAATTTAATTAATATAAATCAATATTGATACATTGGAAATTAATGAGGAAGTAAATGCATGCAACAAGTATTAAAGTATGTAGTCATTGATATGTTGAGAGTATATTTAGTGACTCAGTAAAATTATGGAAATACGAAAGAAATATAATAATACAATTAACAACAGTTATCTTTAGTAAATGTTAAAAAAATATTGGTTTTGACTCGTGTTATGAAAAATTAGAATTCAGTATAATTAGATAAATGGAGGACACTAGAAATTAAATATTGGAATACACTAGATATCGATATATTTGAAGGACGTTCGTTAAAATTTACTTCAAAACTTAGTTTTAAAAACCACGTTTGTTTAATGAGGAAAATTAAAATAATTTTACTCTTATTTGGAAGAAGGTTTTTTGATTAATTAAATATAAATTAACTAATAATTATGCACCAATCAAAAATTATTAAAAAGTTATTATATAAATTTAATCAAGTTTTAGTTAAATTAGTTTCATAGACGTGTCCAAATAATGACGGATTGAGACCAAAAAGCTCACCAAGATGTTTGTTTAAAAAATTCGTTTGTACTCAACCTAGAGGCTTTCGACACCTTTTTTGGGGGGTCATCACTATTTATTTCTTATAAATAAATGTTTATCATTTAAAAAGTTACTCAATTTTGCATCAGTCATTAAAAATAGTTATAATGTGATATAGTATCATCAAATTGGCATGTCAATTTACGGATGAATGCAACTATAAATACGCCTATACTTTAATAGTTGCAGCCTTTTTATAGTTAGAGTACTTATCTTAAATCACAAAAATGATGTGGGAATTATTTTTTTTTCTACTTACGAAGGATTTTTATTATCAGTAGTTTACAACAAACGTAAATTATGACGACGTTTTAAATATACAATTTGTAATGTCTTTTTGGTTATTTTTATAATAAATATTGATCTAAGGAATATTACCCGGGACTATAAGGATGTAGTTCATACAGATTTGTGAGCATAACAATAACATAATTTCAGTACCCCCAGCTTTAGTTTGCATTTAGATTTCCATATGTAAATTAACCCAAATATTTATAATCAATGACTTATTAAAGAGACTATTTTGGTAGATTGTGCTCAAGAAATCTGTTCCCTTTTCCAACCTACGAAAAATAAAAGAATTGTATTTAACAATAAATACTTTTATAAGAAAGTATAATACATTTACCCACCATGATCATTTTTTTAATTTAAGTTGTATTTATATAGTACATAAGCTAAATACTTCGGTATAATTTAGCAAATTTCACTGGTAGAGTCCAATCACTATAGAAACTACTCAAGGACAGCCTATGATTGGTTCAGACTCAATTACAGATATAGACAGTGGCCTATCCAGTACTAAAAAGACTAAGCTACCTTCTATCGAACGTGCTAAACTAACATTTTACACCCAAAAAAAGCCACTAAAATATTTTTTTGGTATATGGTGCTTATATCCCATACTGGTCTATATTTATAATGCACAGTCGACTGCTCCACATGTCTATATACATTTTAAAATGTTTATAACTCAATAAAACTTGTCCTAACAATTTTATCAACATTATTTGTAAAAAAATTAGGCTTCTTTTTAATTTTGTAAAAATAGTTTTTTAGAAGCAAATAATAAGAATATGATCTTAATGTAGTCTAAGTATGCAAAATTTGTTAAAAAAATAGTAATTTATTATGGGGAACAAGGATTTTTTAATAATTTTCAGCAAACAGAGTAGTAAAATTATCACCCCTCTAAACAAAATACTTTGAGGAACTTGAAAACCCTTGACTATGGATTTCCAATATTAAAAAATATTCAAAAACCGTATGTAATTTCTGGATAGCAAAATGGACGACACTGTCTTCATATCATTAATAATATTATTCTTAAATTTATTCATTAACTCCATAACTATAATGTAATATTAATAATTTAATGATAGCCAATTACGCTCATTATTAAAGTCCTATGCTAGTATTATAGTATTTCATAAGTAATTTGAATTTTTGTTAGCATATTTAGAATTGAATTTTGTCATTGAAAATGGTGTTAGAATTATCAAAGAATAAAACTATTACAAGTATTCCAATTAATCACACAAGGTCATAATAACATTTATATTTTTAATTTTATTAATAATAATATTTATTAATATAAAATTACAACAATTTATTTTATAAATCAGTAGTGTATTTAGAAATTTTGTATGGAGTTAGCCTCCATACAAAATATCTTTTAAAACGTATAGTAATGGAGAGATTTACCCCTGATACTATAATTATATGTCTAAGGAGGGTCCAGACCCCATAGACACCGCCCGTAAATACGTCATTTATATATATATTTATATTTGAAATAATATTCTGAATCACAATTTTTTTACTAAATTATCCAATATGAGAGACGTATTATATTGATTCATATCATATTTTATAAACGTAGAATAAAAAACTACTGATGCTATCTAATGCTTAGATATATTCTAATAGGTACAAACGCAATTTTGAGATATAAAGGGATTCTATCTCCCGTTTCTTTCAATTTTGTCGTAGACCTCAAAAGATATAAAAATTACATCTTAATTCATAAAAAAAAATTTTTAAGGAGAAGAAAAATTAAATTAGATCCTTAAACATTTTGTTCAAATTGCACCTTTATACAAAGGTACTTTAAATTGTTTTAATATGTATAATAAAATTAATTTTTTTTAAGTGTGTTGTTAAAGCAAGGGTATCATGTTTTTAAACACCAAAAATAATAACAAATTAAAAATTAAACATTTTTCATTATTACATATATTTTAAGTAAATTATTAAATATTCCTATATTATAAGAAATCTTGACATTAACAGACTTTTTATAATCCAATANTTCCTATATTATAAGAAATCTTTACATTAACAGACTTTTTATAATCCAATAAGATCTTTTTCAATTTATACTTTATCAATTAATCCAATATTCGCAAATTTCGGAGAAAATTGAGGTAAGTTTTGTAGGATACAACGGCTATATGTCTTTTCTTAGCTAATTAAAATAAATTATCATTAAGAAAAATTTGTGAATATATAGAGAAGATTCTTTTTATAAATATATAAATTATATATTCTATACAAGAGTCTAATTTAACGTTTCCTAATGAGTCCACAATTTTTTTTTATAAGAGAACTTTTTTAAATCTGGTTCTACCGGGGATAAAATATCTTCCGAATAATTGAAGGGGTCAGCGGATAAAGGTGTAACTGAAATTTTGAAATTGCTCGGAAATAAATAAATAACTAAATATTAAAACTTTTTTCATATACAGTATATAAAATAACTAGTAAGAGGGAAAATATTGGTCTAGAAATGCTCTATAATATACTTTAACTTAGATATGATACATCTAACAAGTCACTAAAAAAATTTAGTTAACACCTTTATCCACTGATTCCTTTAATTTTGAGTCTATTACATATATTTTTTTACACAGGAGACTCAATTATTTATCATAAATGTTGAAAATTTTTGGCTAGAGTTCTGTTTGGAATGATCGATTCAATTGTAAATCGAACACTATTTTTTAAGAAAGTTTGTACTTAGACTAACAATTTTTTTTAAAGATCAATAAATGATTTAATACTTTTTTTAGTATTCATAAACTAACGTATTTGTAAAGAACGTGCTAAACGAGTTTGGTTTGAGCTGCGACACCACTAATAATACAAATTACATATTACAGGAAGGCAAATCATATCACTTATCGTTTAGAATATAGCTATACCTGGTGTGTATATTTTCCGAGTGACCCCACTACTTTACGCCCATATACATCAGACCTTGACCATTATTACTTATAATATTCGATTGAAAAATTCATCAGTTATTATTTATGAATTCTTCAATAGTGTTATCTTTTAACACCAAACAATTTGAGTTACGAAACCTCAACAAAGGTTAGTATAGAAACATAATTATGTTCATGTATTTAAGGATAATTTTTTAAGAATTGTATTTATTCGTAGGTAACACGCTTAAAAATTAATGAATGACAGTAACATTTATGACTGTTTACTAAAAACTAAATGAAGTATTCATTATAATGCTGAGAATTTGAATGAAAATCGTGACTTGAGTTGCATATATATTTATGTATTCAGTTCTTAATGTTAGTATAATGAATAATAATTTTAATTGGTGCTTAAGATCATTGGATGCTTAGTATTAGTCAAACATTTCATATGGGTTTTTCCATTTTAAGTTATCTGGGTGGGAACAATTGCACTTTTAACTGTAAATATCATCAGAAATTTAACAAATTATTTTATATATAAATACCACACATTTGATTTCAAAAGATTCTTTAAAATTTTTAATTATTTCAGATGCAATTCATTATGTTGGTTTTATGTTCATATATGAGTTGTATATTAGCAGTTCCCAATAATACTAATGTTATTTTCCCCTTAAATCAAAATGATTCTAATAAAGAAATTTGGAAAGCACCACCTCCAATGCATTTATCTATGCCACCTGTTTCTTCACTTTTGGAAGTATCTATGCCACTAAATAAAATAGCACCAATTGCAACTGACACCAAAGAGGTAAGTTTATCACATCTAATTTACATTAACTGAATTAGTTGTTAAGTTTGCTTAAATATTTTTAGATGTTAACATTTGGATTAAGGAATGCAACAATAAATCTTGATAAAGCAATTAATAGTGAAAATATTAAAAACCGGAAATCTGATCATAATATTATTATTTCACCTATAAGTATAGCTGCAGCTATGGCTCTTATTCTATTAGCAACAGCTGGTGAATCTAAATCAGAAGTTGGAAAATTTTTGGGTTTTGATAGTACATTTGTTGATACTATTGAAAAGTATGAATATAAATATTTTGACTTATGGTTTTTAAATTTAACATTTTTTTAGAAATGAAAATATTTTCAAAAGACTAGGATTGTTACTGGATAAATTTCAAATTGATACTAATAATACTGTAGGTACAACACAAATTAATTTAGCAAAATCTATATTTGTTCAAGATGGTTATAATTTAACAAAAAAATATAGAGCAATGGCAAAAGAGTTACTTAAAAGTGAGCTAATTATAGTAGATTTCAAAAATAATGGCTTCCAAGCACAGAAAAGGATAAATCAGTAAGTTACAAACATATTTTACTCTACATTAATAACATTTTTATTTATCAAATATATTGAAATGTTACTTTCTAAAAAATTTACTTTACATAGATTTAAAAAAATGCATATATTTTCTTTGAATCTTTAAGTAGACTCATTGTTCTAGATTGTAATATTAAGAATATACAATATTTTAGTGGTTGATTTAACCCGGGTCACTAGATTTCACCTAAAATAATAATAATTTAGAAATTTATTTTGTTTATCTAATTAATAATTATTTCTCAATATTTGTGGTTAAATATTTTTTAGAATTATTCCTTATAAGGATACTAACTTTATTTTTTTTAATGGCAACATATATATTTAACTTGTTTATATTATAGAAAATGATGTATTTAAGATAATAGCTGGTCAATGACAACTTTTGAACCAGTATCTCGGAAGTTATTAAAATTTGTATATCTAGGTGGGAGGAATACCGCAGCAGAAGATAACATTAAAACATAACTCACGCATAATTTTCTATCTACATTAAAAAAAATTGAGAAATAAATAATACTAAACAAAATCAAAAAAAATATTTTCACAATTATTATTAATGTAGGAGAAATTTAATGATCAATGATAAATTAATCATCCTGTATATTTTTTATATAGAACAATAGTCTAATTCATATGTTACAATATTCTACTGGTCCACTGGAAGGCATTTTATAGAACTAATGTTATAAATATTATATTAAATAATATAAATCAAAGAAATTAATGTTTTTTTAGGTTTGAATTAATTCCTATTTAATAGTAGTTTTAATAAGAAGAAATCTATTATTTCGTTTATGTCAACAAATGTTTGTTTTATATATTATATTTTAAATAAAAAAAATTAATATAAGATTTTTAAAATAATTAATAGAAGAGATAAAATATTAAGAATGATGATTTTGTAGTGAAATATTTTGCTAACAATTAGATATTTTTTTACTCTAGATGGGTATCTAATCAAACTCGTGGAAAAATTAACGATATTTTACCAGATATTCCTCTACCCGATACTAAAACAATTATAGCAAGTGCTCTCTATTTTAGTGGCGAATGGGAAACTCCATTCCTTCTCAACTATACAAGAGTGTAAGTAAACGCTCTAGAACAAAACATTTTTACCATTACAATATTTTTAACTTATATTATTTCCTAGAAAACCATTCTATGCTGGTCTAAGTGCGCCTGAAAAAAAAATTAATCGTGAGAATAAAGATAATATCTATGTACCAACAATGGTGGGAAACAGTGAAGTTTTGTATCATTCAAATGAAGAACTTGGATTTAAAGCTATAGGCATACCCTATAAGGGCAGAAAAGTTTTTATGTATTATGTTCTACCTAACACAAATACTTCTCTTAGAGATTTGGTGGCTAAAATGGATGGATATTCTTTACAAAACATAACTATGAACACTACACTTAGTGAATTTCTTTATTTCATACCTAAAATGACACTAGATTCTTTTACTAATTTGCGACCAGCCATGCAGGTAATCAAATATTTTTAATCAAATGAATAAGTTGATTTATAAAAATTATTTGTTAGAAATTGGGCGTCAATAAAATATTTGATTCTTTACAAGCAAATATGATAAATATGGCAACAGATTCAATGGCTTTCGTTAGTGATGTTTTGCATAAAGTACAAATTGTAGTGGATGAAGTAGGAACAGTTGCTTCAGCAGCAACTGTTGTAACTGTGTCAAGAGGTGGTTTACCCGTTTTCAATGTAAATAAACCATTCTTATTTTTCCTTCATCATGTAGAAAGTGATACAATTATATTATGGGGAACTATTTACAAACCTATGCCTTATACAACCTCACCACCTCCACCTCTACCTTCATCATCACCTCGGATTAAGACACATACAAGACACTTTTAAAACAAATATATTTAAGATAAATCATATATTTTTTATTTATTTTTTATAACCTTATTATAACTTATACACATTATAAATATAAGTTACTTTTGATAGTCAATCAATCATTGTTCTTCTATACTAAAAAATTATTTTTTAGCAAATGTTATTTTCATAGCATGTGTTGGAGTAATTTTGAAACCATTAAGAGATAATTTAGCTGTGTTTGATTGGTGTTCATTTTCAAATTCTACAAAAGCAATGTCATGTCTATTTGGTACAAGTCTTACTTCTTTAAATCCAGGGAATCTAAAAATAAAAATGAATAATTATGAAGAACCAAGTTAAAGAAAATTTTTTATTTTACTTACTGATTAAAAAGCATAGATAACATCATTTCAGTTGTTTCATCGGGGAGATTGGTTAAGAAAAGAATTTGGTTAGGTGGCTGTTCAGGTACATCTATAAAAGGAAATATTAATTTTTAAATATTCAATTAGTCAGTTATTATTAATTATAAAAAAATTATTTGAGATGTATAAAGATATTTTCAAAGTTTCAAAACTGTTATATTATGTTTAAATATTCAAAGTACTTATTCTGAAACATATTACTTAAAATATTTTAATAAAAAAAATCTACCAATTTCCATAATATAAATCTCACATACTTCAGATCTCCTAATATGTTTATATAGTGACTAAAAATGCATGTCTCAAATATATTCTTTGAATATTAAATAATTTTAAAGAATGTAATCTAAGAAGAATTTAATGCATTATTCATAATAAATTTTTTTTTAACACTTGGTTTTATTATTTATTTTATACTTTGAGAGAGACAATACACTAATTTAAATTGTATACTGAAATTAAATACTTGAATGTTTTATATATTTTAACTGTTAAATGATAATATATTATTGCTGTTGAGTATAAAATGATACTTATCCATAACTTTAATTGTTAAAATGTTTACATACTCATCATTATTTTCTTAATACAATACAAGTAATAATACAACTGGTTTAATTTTATAAAATTACTTTAAATTTATCATCCAAATATCAATATTAACTTTAAAAACTGATAAAATAAACATTTAATTTTATGCACTTCAATAAGTATTTTTGCAACTTTGATCAAGACTTAGTTCATTGGCATACCAAGTTTTGAGGTTCAATTTCCTTGCCAAAATTTTATCATTTTTTTTATTGATTTATATACAATATTAAACGTTAAAAGCAAGTTAATTTTCTAAAAGTCCAATTATTTAACAGTCCCAAAATTATCTGTTCATACAAAAAGATCCAACATTTGGCAACACTATTTCAAATTTTTTTTTTGAGAATTTAATTATTATTTTTCTTTTGATATAATATATTTATACCCTTACAAATAAATATACTTACTTCCACCAGCAACACCACCAGGATTATTCTGTTGAGCTAAAGCACGAGCTTGTTCTTTAGCAGCCTTACGTCTTTTTTTAGCTTCTTCGTCTTCTTTTGGTTTTTTAGGTTTCTTTTGGCGTTCAACAAATGTTCCTTTCATTTTAGCAATAATATCAGATTCAGTTTTAGCGAATTGTATACGCTAAAAATCATTAAGATTTAAAAGATAAATGGATTTTTTAAATATATTTAATATACAGAATAACTTATGACTATTCATTACTAATTACTTTAGCATGCATAGATTACTAATTTAAATAATCAAAATTTTTTTTAAAAATTCATTATTATGTTATTTCAATGACAAGTTATTATTGTTAGTAAGTAAATCATGCTATATTACTCTTGGTGACTATATTTTAGCAATTCATTAGCTGTTTCTAGAGTTAAAAAATTATTTGATTTACCATTGGTTTATCATAAAAAGGAAATCCTTGCATAGCACGTAATGCATTAGTTGAACTAGTGATGTCTTTAAAAATTACAAATGCTTGGCCATTCATTTTCATTCCTTTCATGGCAACAATATCCAAAATTTGTCCAAATTGAGAAAAAATAGCATATAATGATTTTTTTAAGTCTATAAATAAATCAAAAATTACAAATATTAGTTTATAAAATTTACTTTTAAAATGAAAAATTAACCTTCTTTTTTAATTTTTTCATTAAGATTATTTATATAAATTGTATGATTAGGTCGTGTATCCAGCATTTTCAGGATTTTGTATCTAAAATAATAAATAAAATCCAATAATTTAAAATAGTATACATTTTTGAATAAATTAAATTTTACACTGAGTTCTACTACACTATAATTTTTTACTTTTTTTTCAAATGTGATATAAATTAATTTTTTTAATTAAAAAAAATTATATTTTCAAGACTAAAAATTGCTTATTATTAATTAGAAAGGGTATTGTAAAGTGTTAAGCTTAATTTTTAAAATAAAGTCAATTACAAACTTTAAAAAATCAAACTACTCGTATGTGAACAACAAACCAGAAACGTGTTATACTAATTCTTGTTTCTAATCCAACCTGTATAATTAAATTATTGTTTAAATATAATAAAAAAACTTTAGATTGTATTAACTAAAATTGATATTTAAATATTTAGTATAATCAATATTGATAAAATAAATCATTATTACAATTTTGAACTAAGATTAATAATCAAAAACTTTATTTTTTTTAATATTTATTCTAAGTCAAGAATCTATATTCAAAAAGTTGCCTGTGAAATTAAATTTCTTTTCAAAAAATTATTTCTCTCAATAAGAAAACTTAAGTATTTTTCAGAATACTATAATTATATAAAATATGATGAAACTAATATACAAAGTACAAAAGTGCCATATTTTGAAATAAGCATTTAGATATAGATTAATGTTTCAATTTCCTACATTAATTAAATTATGTAACTTTGAATTTAATATTTATCAAATTTTATTAAAATATTATTGTTTAATATCATAAGTTTTGATATATCAAAAACTTATATAATCATAGTACGATATAAAAGTTCCAAATACAAAAATTTACTAACTGATATAGTTTTTTAAATGTATTAGTTTAAAGATATATATTTAAGTAAAATTAAAAATATACCACGTAGAGTAAATTTGGTAAATTTAATTATACCACTACTTGCATAAACTAATATCTAAAAGTGAACTTGATAATTTCACGAGTCGGTCCTTGACTTCTTTACCAAATCTTAACTTTATAATTTTACAGTATAGTTAATATTAAACAAAGAAATGATATAGAAAACGTTAATAACAAAGTAACTTAATAAGAAATGCTAAACAAGATTTGGAAATCTCGAATTAAGCTTACTTTTTATAGTTTTAGAAATTAACAATTAAAACATACAACCGATAACAGATATTATACATGTAAACAACAGCTAAAGCCGCTACCCAAAAATTATCTGCATGTTCATATTTTAGTATTAGGTTATCAATTTTATACCATGGTTCATACATTTAAAAATGGCGTTGGATTTAAACTCAAAATACGGGCGATTAGAATATATTCATAGTTATTATCAAATCTTACTAAATAATCTTTTACATAGACAAATATACTATACTATCTTTTGAATCAAAAAAATATATTAAATACCAATTTAATATATAAATAATTTAGTATATAAAATTGAAGATCTTGATGCAATACTTAAAAAACATATTGTTATTTATAAATAAATTTACTGGTCTACAAGGAATTTTCACCCGAGATCAAAATATACTTTCCTAAATAAAGTGGTTTTAATACTACTGTTGTAAAAGACTTAATGCGTATTTAAAACAAACTAAAAAATGTATAATAGATATAATAGATAAAACTATCTTAATAAAAATGTTTTAAATATTTAATACTTAAAATATATCCGACTTTATGAATATATCCGTAAAGTCAGTTATGGATTCAAACTAGTTTTACCTATAGGTAAAACTAAAATATTGTAGAATTTAGTAAAATAAAAAATTTTCTAATGCTACTTTTAACATCAACATAAGACCCAAAGAATTTTAAAATGAAGTATGGTCACCGGTTAAAATAGACTTAAAATGGGAACATAACGGAACTAGATAGTATATATTAGGCATTGACCTCCCATTCAAAGCAGATCAAGGATAATTGATATTTCATATGACACTTTTTGTAGTTCTCAATGAAAAATATATTGTATGAATTAAAAAGCACAAACAAGAAAATGTTTGTTATACTTCTAAAAGAAAAACATACGTTCTCACTATTTAATTATATTTTACAGCAAATCAGTCCTACGCTTATCTATTGAGCCGCTCTTGTGCAAAAAGTAAAAAAGGAAATTGGCTGTCCCTGGAATTTTTCAATCGACCGACTTCGATTTAATTGAGTATTTCATTTTTTTTACATAATAATTTTGAAAAAAGGATTATTTAATTTTAAATACCGTCCCTTATTTTTGATTAACATTAAAATATAAACACTTGGTTAACGTGGCACCAATGGATGTTTATATATTTCAACCTCAATTAATCATACTCCTGTGCTCGCTGTAATTTGTTATTAGAGCAAAATTTGAAATTTAGATCAATTAAGTTAATAAAATCTAGTAAAAGTGTTACCTCATTGTGAAATAGGTACATAGAATTTAGAGCGAAGTTGGCGAGAGTCAATTTTTATCATTTTTCAGAAAAGTTGTTTGAAATATTTTAATCTCATAATATTATAATTATATTATATTAGTTCATATTATGGACGAATATAAATGTTAATTTTGAAGATTCAATAATAATCTTATTTCTATCGTAAAAACTAAAGGAGTTGTTAAGTTTGAAATATTTATTTTCATGTCGAACTCATTTTACTTAAAATTTAACTGAAATAATTTTAATATGAATATAACTAGAGTACGAATATTAAATTTTTTGCAAGCTAAACATCGAAGAAAAATATATTTATGTGAGGAAATTTTGTGAAAAATTATGAAAGGACTACTTTAAATTTCTTGTAATTTTTATTCGTTTCTGGTAGCATATTTGGGAAGCAACATTTGAAAAATGATTACATTTTTATATGTTTTAAATGAATTTAATTTCATACAAAAAAAAAGTAAAATACACAGTCTCAACAAAATTTTTATGAGGGATTTTTCCAACTTAAAAATTGTTTACAACAATGTTTAAAGTTTTTCTGGAATTTTAAAGGGAATACATTTTTATATAATTATTTAATATAAAAATATTTTAAGCTCCTCACATTTTGCACCTACGATAAATTTTATGAATCTTATTTATCTATTTATGTTTAATTTCCTCTTTTAAAAATTATTGTTTGTGCCAGATAGAAACATCTCATAGCTTCTTACTACGGAATCGAACTTTGGTATTTATGTACCGAGGCACAACGCTTTCCCGACTGAGGTAAATTGGCCACTTACTATGCCCCATTATGAAAGGGACGTAATAATTTTTAAATTCGACCCTGATAATGATATTATATTAATATTTATGTTTATATCTTATAACATATCCAATTATTTTCATTATTGTCTAATTCATTAACTAAGATAAACTACAATAGTGGTCAAAAAATATTTTTATCCATTAACTTCTCCTGTTTAAGTATATCCGATTCTGGTATCATCAACTCTGACGCCACCAAATTATTCTAACGGTGACTAACTAGCGCAAGCATAGCCGTAGAAGTGGTGGACGAATGAATCCCACCTTCTACAGTTTTCGTAGTATAGAATCTAGTGAGCAAATACCATTGGGTAGTGGGAGTTCGGCACACCTCTGGTGTGTTAGTATTCTGTTTATTTTAAGAAATCAACATCGTTTCCTATAAATGGTTATTTCGCTGGTCCATTGAAAGTGTGTTCGTGTGTGTGTACTCGTTTTGCACCTTTTATCATCAAAACGACAACAATTGATATTATCACTCATCACAAAGTATACCTAAAATTATAAGGGGCCAATTTAAAAATGCCTGTATTTCACACGAAAACAATTGAAAGCATTTTGGAACCTGTCGCACAACAAGTAAAATTATTTTACAAATTATTTAGTTTTATATAATGTTTACATGATTATGTTAAATTAGTGACCATATTTTTTTACAATTGTCATCAATTTTTCGTTATTAATTTTCATTTCACAAACTTGACCTTATTTTATTATTAATCATCTACCATGAATCTATACTTATAGCTTTTTTATTTAATTATCCTGTATAGTATAATGGATAGTTGCCAAACGTCAATATAGTGGTATTATGATATGTATTTAAATGATGTTAAACTTCACAATACATTATTATGACGATGATTGATTTATAAACTAATCTCCTTATTTCATTTGCAAAAATGAATACTAGTGATCATTATAAAGAACATCTGTTTTATATTTTCACCTTGTTAAAACTATTTTGGGAAATGCCAAGGAAATTAATATGTTTATAATGGTTATCCTTGGTTGAACAAATTATCAAGTCTTATTATCTTAACTTTTTTTTAGTGTAAAGGTTATATTTATATTATAAATCTTGAAATATTTATTTTAATAGATTTACATTAAAAAATGTGTTAACTCAAAATTTATAAAATATACAAGAAAATTATTTTATTTTATTTTTTTATAAATAATCAAATTTTATATTAATTTATTTTTGCATAAGTCATTTATAATGTAATCTTCAGGGATTTTTATGGAATATTGATATACTTACTATGCACTTGTTAAAAAAAACAAGATATGCTTGCAGTTTTCTATATGAATTTGAAGATACAGTGTCTATATAAATATAGTGAAGTAAAATTTATTGATCCCATTTAAAAAGAAATAACTATTTCATTAAAATGTACTGTATACTCCTAAAAATGTAAATTTTATATAACTTAAAATAAATTTATATTTGAGAATATTTACTATGAATATATTAAATGTATTTACAAGCTGGATAATTAAATGTACAGTTTTGGCAGAGCTTTTTCTGAGATTTAATTATTAATAAAAATACCTTGTAATTAAGGTTAAACAATAAACACATTCTTTTTTCAAATTTTTATGTTATTACATGTCAACATGTAATTTAATATTTTATTTTGATAAATATCATGTTAAGAACTTGAGAATTGTCCATTATCAATTCCTAATTCATGAGTCATAAATGCTGACTCAACTTAAATATTACTTATACATATAAAAACTGTTAAAATTTTTTCTTGTCTATATATCAAAAAAAAAAAAAAATGTTTAAATAAATAGTTCTTCAATAATATTTTGTTTAAAAGGATGCCACATTGCCTTGTTTTGCACTTGTACAATTTAAACCATATTTTATTAATGTAATGTTTTCTACTATTAAAAAACATTTATATTAAATTTGGAAGACATTTTTATCAATCATATTATAACTAGACTATAAATATTACATCATTTTTAAGAAGTTTCATTTCAAAATACCCCTTAATTTAGCTATGAGAGTAATTTTAGTTTTACGATTGAATATACTACTAGCCACATATGTTGTTAATTATTTAATTATTATGGATTTTTTTTATTCCAATTGTTTAAAATTTGTTTTACAAATATTATGTGTAATTATTGGTGACAAAATATGTATAAAAAGGTGGTTCTTTACCGTTTTTTAATATGATAAATTTTTTATTAGAAGTTATGCTATGATTTGTATGTAATACACTATATCATAAATATGTAGTGATTTTTATTTCCTCTTTAAGATAGCATGGATATACTTTTTATAATTTTAGTGCAGTGTTTGTTTTTGAGGTTCATTGAGTATTATTTTTAGAGTATATTATACTAATACACTACAATGTCCAAACACATAATTACTATATTTCATTTTTGAAATTAAAAATAATTGATTCATTGATTGTATTAAAAAAATGAAATATTGAATTAAATTATATCATATTTCTAAAAGTATTATAATAACTATTATTAATATTCTTCTATAATTATTTTGATTAGGTTTCTAGGTTAGTTATTTTACATGAAGATGCTGAAGATGGAAGTGCAATGCCAGATCTGGAAAAGCCGGTTCAAGCTGTTAGTCGTGCTGTAATGAATTTGATTAAAGTGGGTAAAGAAACAATTAATTGTAGTGATGATCCTATCCTTAAACAAGATTTACCTTCTGCTCTTTACCGAGTTGAAGGAGCTTCACGATTACTTGAAGAAGCTTCTGCTATGTTAAAACAAGATCCATATAGTGGACCTGCACGAAGAAAACTTATAGAAGGTTCTAGAGGAATTTTGCAAGGGACTTCTTCTTTGCTACTTTGTTTTGATGAATCTGAAGTAAGAAAAATAATAAGAGAATGTAAAAAAGTGCTGGATTATTTGGCAGTTGCAGAAGTTATTGAAAGTATGGAAGATTTAGTGCAATTTCTTAAAGACTTGAGTCCAAGTTTAAGCAGAGTATGATCAAAAATATAACATAATTTATTAAAATTTTAAATAAAATGTTCATATTTTCTAAGGTGTCTAGGGAAGTTGGTGCTCGAGAAAAAGAATTAACTCATCAAGTTCATAGAGACATTCTTGTTCGTTGTCTAGATCAAGTCAAGACATTAGCACCTATTCTAATATGTAGCATGAAAATTTATATTCATATTTTATCTGAAGGTATTAATTTATTTATTTAAAAAAATAATGTTTAAAAAATAAAAACTGCTTAACAGTTGAGGGTATTTAGTTTATAAAACTGTTCATATTTACCTAAAATTAATTTTTCACATAATCCAATCAACAAATATATCTTTTATGAACACAAAGAAAATTTATTTTAAAAGAGACATTAACTAAATTACTATGTACATAGAATACATGTCCACTTTTCATAATTTTGTAAAAAAGACAAACAACTGAATATCTTTTGAAATAGTTAATTAACACATTTTACTAGTATAAAGAAAATATCTATTATAGTTGAGAGTTCATAATTGTTTTCAGAAATATTATAATAATTCAGATGCAAAACCAATTTTCAGTTATCTGACACTATTAATTTTGTCATTTATCTCCTTTATTTGATACATTGACATTGACAAAAAAAACATTTATAGTGTAATTTTAAATTATTATTTTAGGTGGAAAAGGTGCAGCTGAAGCTGCAGAAAATAGGGACTATCTCACTAGTAGAATGACTGGAGAAATACTTGAAATTATAAGAGTGCTTCAGTTGACAACTTACGATGAAGATGAATGGGAAGCTGATAATATAACAGTTATGCGTAAAGCATTGAATATAATTGAGGGTAAAGTAAACAGTGCTCATGATTGGCTTCAGGTGGGTTTCATACATTTAAAAAAAAATTATACATTTTTTATATAAAATTATATAAAAAATTATAATATATCAGCATTCACTGACAACTTAAATAATTTTTTATCTAATTAATATTTTTTATTTAAATAACAGTTATACGTTAGGTCTATAATTATATCTCAATAATTTATATTTTTACATTTTATTAAAAATATTAATTATTTTTAAATTTTAAATAAAATGTACAAAAAATCCAAGATGACTATTTTGCATAGTAAATTTTAAGAAAAATATCTTATTAATATTCAGTAGTAAATAGTCTGTATGATTTTAAAGTTTGTGAAAATTAGAATTTTCATGTGTTATTTTACGGTTTTAAACATTGAAATATGTGTTGAGACAAGGACAGAAGAAAAGTAAGATAAGTAGTTTTATCTCTTTAGAGATTAAACTATTTATTAAATAATAGGTATTATTCGTGTTTTTATTTGAACTGAAATCAATCATTAGAATGTTAATAATTTTCATGGAAAAATCCATACTCATATCATATTTAGTGTGAATAGATAGTATTTACTTCTGTCTTTTTTTTATACAACATAGCCAGTATTTGATATAATTTGTATAATAAATACAGAAAAATGCAAATTTTTACAAAATTTAAAATGTTACAGAAAATTAACTACCAAACATTAATGAGAATTTTTTTCACCAAATTATTATTTAAAATCTATTCTAAAAATTGGCTATTTTATTAATATATTATATTATAATAGATATATTTTTGATAGGTTGCATGACTGTATTTATAATTGTATAATAACACTTATTAAAATTTTTTATAAAATTAATACATATATTTTTTTTACTGTAATTTGTAAAGAATACTACCCTAAATTGAGCACCCTTTCTTACCCATAACTAATGTTCTAATTCTTTATTTAGTGAAAACCTTTTATATTCTATGATTTTTACATACAATAATTTAAAATTATAAAATTTGAAAAAATATGTATGTTAAAGTTCAAATTTATAAAGCCAAAATTTACTAAAGAGAAAGGTTAATGTAGTTGGAAGTATGATATCTTTCAACTATTTGTACTTATATATTCTACTAATACTAAATTCACTATAGGAACCTTTATCAATGCCTGGGGGTCTAGGTGAAAAAGCAATTCGTCAATTACTTGATCAAGCTCATTTAATATCTGAACGTTGTCCACCGAAAATTCGAGATCCAATACAAAAACTTTGTTCAGAGATAAACACTATGACAAATGCTCTTTGTGAGTTGCGACAAGATGGTAAAGGAGCTACAGCTCAAGCTGAAAGTTTGGCGCGTAGTATTGATGAAAGAATTGGTGAACTGGTTAAATTGGTGACAAAAGCAGTTAATGATACTGAAAAAAGTGGAGTTGCTGCTAAAGGACAGCAAGTTGCTCATACTTTAGGTGGACAATTAGATCAAGCAAGACAATGGTTGTTAAACCCTGGAAGAAATGATAATGGTTTAGGACAAAAAGCAATAGCTTTGATTGTAGAAGAAGCACATAAGGTAATTCTTATTAATAGAAAAACTATGTATTAATTTTTTCAAGATCTACTTTTTTCCTTGCCTTAATCCCAACTACTTGGGACTGGTCAAGCTGGGCAAGAGAAGGATGGCAATGAAAAAATATAATAATAAAATTAGTTATATTTAAACCTCAATCTATATTTAGAATTATAATAATTTCTAAAATTATAGGTTAAAAGTTATTATTGACTAGTTATTTTCTTATTTAGATTATTTTCTATTATATAGAGTGTCCTATAATCAGTGTGTATCTATCATTGGGGCGCCCTAGGCCAGTTATATATTTGGCACCCTTATTTAATACATTTTTAAATAAAATACATCTTATGCAAAAAAAAATGTATTCATAACTTGAGCGTTCCTCAAATGTATTCTAAGTGCCCTAAGGGGCCACTTGCCCTCGTTGACCATTCAGCATGATCCTGCCTACAATGTTCTAAAAAATTGTTACGAGAAAATTATTTAGATTTGTCAAAACAACTTGGGACACTTTATGTAAACTACTTAAATATGTATGTTGCTATAAAATAGTAAAGATTGCATTCTTATGAGGAATATGAGATGGACCTAAAAATGACTTAATAGTTAATAAATTGAGAATATAAATTGATGTATGAGATATTATGTTAATATTCATATGTGTAAATTATATTTTTGTATATATTTTTTACTGTTATATTAAATTTAAAATGATGCTCATTTATTTATAATATTTAGTATAAATAAAGTTAACCGCTATATAAAAGTGTTTAAAACTTGGTAAAAATAGAAAAAACTTATTGATGTTTTTATTACTTAAGGAGAAATCTATTGGCTAAAGTTAAATGTATTACTCTGTTTATTAATTATACAAGGTAATTCTTTTAACTACAAATTTTGTTGTAATATACTGTTGAATGTCTGTTATATTCTGTAGGTGGCTGATGGACTTCCTGGTGTTCAAAGAGCTGAAATATTAAATCTTTGTGATGAAGTAGAAGCTCTAAGTCGTCAATTAAATGATTTATGCAGGCGTGGTGAAGGTAACTCACCTCAAGCACAAAAAATAGCCAGGTATTTATTTTATTTTTTATTTATAAATGCTATTTTTAATTTTTGAAATTTATATACTTTTATATTGCCATACTATAATATTATTTTAGAAAGTTATCACAAAAATTAGATGAGCTTAAAAAAAAAATTCAAGACGCTGTAGTTGGACGTGTTGTTGAAGATTTTGTTGATATTAATACTCCATTGAAACAATTTACGGATGCTGTTCATGTTCCCAAGGGTTTGTTATTTTTTATTAAAATATGTTCATTATTCATTTTTTGTTAAATTTAAATAAATTAGTAACTTCATATTATTTGGTCACTATTTTTACAATTATATATATAGATAGTTTTAATAAGGAAACTGGTTTCTATTGTTTTCATTGTTTATAACAATTTATCTGTTTCCTTACTTTTTGAAACCTTTGTACATATTTTTCTTAGAAAAATTGGGTTTTCTGTGTTAGATTATTTAATATAAGTAAATTAAATACTATTTCTTAATTGTTATCTTTCTTTTGCTTTTAGTAATATTTTTATTTAAAAATAATTAATTAAAACTAATAAGAAATTAGTTCTATTTACTTAATGTTTTAAATATTATGGTATCTCAGACCATTGATTTTAGCATAATTTGACATAGTTCTATTAAGAACTTGGCTATTTTTTTAATTACTAAATATTTTTTTAGGAACTCCTGGTAGAGAAGCTAATTTTGCTGATCGTGCCAATAGATTATCTGATTGGTCAAAAAGAGCTGGCCGTACAGGTAGACTTGTTGCTGCTACTGGTAGTGGGGGTAAAAAATTGTCTGAAGCTCTTATTCAAGCTGCTTTACAACTGGAATCTCTTGGGCCACAATTGATAAATGCTGGGCAAATAAGATCACAGTATTCTGATAATAAGGTGGCAGGAGAACATTTTGATAATTTGTGTTCTCAATATGCAGATACTGCTACTCACATGCGAAATCTTTGTGATGAAGCTACTGACACAGCAACTTTTATTAGATTATCAGGTATGTATATATTTTAGTCTGTTTGTTGAACAATTAAGCTAACATTTTTTTTTTACTAAATTTCTCAATTTTAGAGGATCAAATGCGTAAACATGCTAAGTTATGTGAGGATGCCATTATTAGACATGATCCAAACAAAATGGTTGAACATACTACAGCTATTGCACGTTTGGGTAATAGAGTATATCAAGTAGCTAAGCAAGAAGCGGATAATTCTGAAGATCCTGTTTTCCATGCTACATTAAATAGAGCTGCTGATATTTTACAAGCTGCTGTTGCTAGAATGGTTCAAGATGCTAAGCCAGTTGCACTTGATACAAATGATTCACAAGCTGTAAAACGCTGGAGGGATTCTAATAATGCCTTGCTAGATGCAGTTCGAGGTGTGCGTAATGCTGTAACAGTAGTACCTGATTTACATGATTTGTCTATTGAACCTGAAATAGCTCCTCCTCGTCCACCTTTACCTGGTGAACAGGCTGCTCCTCCTAGACCACCTTTACCAACCGAAACTGATGATGAAGATGAAATGTTCAAACATGCACCTCTACCTAATCATCCTATAATGGCAGCTGCACATGGACTACATCAAGAAGTTCGCCAGTGGTCAAGTAAAGATAATAAAATTATTGCTGCTGCCAAAAAAATGGCAGTGCTAATGGGCCGTCTTTCTCAATTGGTTCGTGGACAAGGAGGAACTAAAAGAGACCTTATTGCTTGTGCAAAAGCTATTGCTGAAGCTTCAGAAGAAGTAACAAGATTAGCTAAAGAGTTAGCTAGAGAGTGTACTGATAAAAGAATGAGAACTGTAAGAATTAAAAAGTTAAAATTTAAATATAAATATATTTTTGTTGATTAATATATGTAATTTTTTTTTTTTTAGAATTTATTACAAGTATGTGAACGCATACCAACTATTGGAACTCAGTTAAAAATATTATCAACAGTTAAAGCAACTATGTTAGGTGCCCATGGTTCTGAAGAAGACCAAGAAGCTACTGATATGTTAGTAGGAAATGCACAAAATTTAATGCAGTCTGTTAAAGAAACTGTTCGTGCTGCTGAGGCTGCATCAATTAAAATTCGAACTGATACCGGCATACGATTGTGTTGGGTTAGACAACAACCATGGTACCATTACTAATGTTTTTATAATTGTTACCATGATCATAAATAAGGTGTTCAATACTTAATTTAAATTTAATTATACCTATTAATATTTATGTAGTTATGATATATATAGATCACTTAAAGCACTATTTAAAAAATTAGGTGTTTTATAAATGGTTCTTTGTTGGTAAAATATTATAGCGACAAAGTAGTGACTAAGATATTTTTGCATTATAATTAGTTAAACAGGTGTTAATGTCTTAATTGCTGAATCATTCCAACAGGTTATTATGTGCCTTTTATTCATAATATTTAGTAGTGCTTAAAGTGATAATAAGACTAAGCAATTACTTATTAGTTTAAGTATTTCATATATACTTAGTCAAATGATATATGCTTGTACTCTTGTTACCATTTAATCAAATTTGTCTATAACATTTTTTATAACTAAATTCTAAATGAATACAACAAATTCACTTTTTAAAATAAGTAATATACAATACTTCAAATATTATTGTAAAATTATATAATAAATAATATTTTTAAATGATCAATGTATCAATTTTTAATAACAATTGGTCAATAAACATATTTTTAAACAAAGGTTAATATATATATTTATATAAAAAAAATGTTTAAAGACAACAAGTTATAAGACAAATCTGAGTTGGTTTTTTGTGAAATTATAACTATTAGTAATTAGTATATTTTTTAATACAAAATTTGTATAACTATTTAATTAGTTGTTACTTATTTGTATGTTAAGCATAAATTAAAATTATTCATTTCATACATAGTAGAATGATTAAAGACATTTATTTATAAACTGAGAATCTAATACTTTATTTTGTGTGTTAATTAATTTTTTTGATTTATGTTTTAAATAATAATTTAATTTAAAAAATCTGTTATATTATACTCTAAGAATTCACTTTTTACAAAATAATTTTTTTATGACAACATTATTTAAAGACATATTTTAGTATAACAAGAATTTTAGTTACATGTTTAAAAATGAATATTGCTATGCTTAACTTTAAGAATATTTAAGAAGAATGCTGTATAGTCTTCCATAATAGCCTTATAATAGCTTTCATAATAAAACGACCATCACATTAGAATTATTTGTGTAATTTATGATTTTTATTAATATTGTTATAATTATTGTTCAAGTTTATTTACTGATGTTTCAATCATTTATTACATTTTAAAAGTAAATAAACTCAGTACAATTATTAGTTTTCAAGAATGATTTTCAATTTTTACAATAAAAAAATAATAGTAAATATTCATCCTTTATAAATTATGTATTAAAAAAAAAAAAAATTATTATTTATTTATNAAAAAAATAATAGTAAATATTCATCCTTTATAAATTATGTATTAAAATTATTATTATGTATTAAATTATTATTTATTTATATTTTATTAATATTGAATTAAAGTGTATTACAATAGTAATCTTATATTTTGTTTTAATTTTACTGTGGATAATATACTATTAATTATTATTTAAATTTGAATTTTACATTAAAATTAAAAGTTAAATATGAGTTTTTTTTTATATTGCTATATTTTAAAAACATTTTGTTTTTCTATTAATATTGATTGTTATTTATTGTTAACCTATAAATTATTTATTTGTAATATTATTTTTTTAAATCTTATAATCTAGCCTTTTTAACATTTGTGAAAAGTTAAAAACGTTGTGGATTTTAATATAAATATTATGTAGTTCCTAACTAATTAGTTTCTTTTTGTAATGAAAAAAATTATTTCATAATATTTATTTATTCATTTGTGTTTCTTATAAAATGTATTATGTCTTTTAATATATTTGGTGCTAATAAAATATTTCCATTATGCTAACTATTTAATGCAATTAATATTATCTTTTTGTTAATAAAGTTTTAAAAAAATTCAATATTGAATTATTTTAAGGTAATTAAACCCAATTACACAGATAGATCTATGCAAAAGAAATATATATAATGTGTTCAAGTAATAAGTTTAAAAAAAACTTCTATAATAAACTATTATGAATGTAAAGAGTGTAAATCACTGTGGGAGTTACTTCATGTTTTGGAATTTTTCATATCAAATTTTAAAAGAAAGTTTTTATTATAGTAAATAAGATCCGAATAAAATTTTTTTTTTTTATATATCACATTTCTTCTATTATAATGTAAATTTATTTATTGTATTTTTATACTTTACATTGCGCTATATGTAAAAAAAAAATTTACCTGTTAAAAATTATTGTTGTACAAGTTAATGGAAACAATTAACTTGAATAAGTTAAGTTAAATATGAAAAACATCAGTTAGTTAAAAGTTAAGGAATTATAAATTTCAATAGTTAAATGTTAAAGAGAAAAAAATATTTACTTAACTTAATTTAGGTCGAGGTTCACACTAAGGTTATATTTTTTCTTCATGATTTCCTAATTTATAGTTTGAACAAGTAAAACTATAGTGGCTTAACCCACAAGTTCAAAAATTAATCCCCATCCCACCCCGAAAAAAATTAAAAGAATTATACTTGTTGTTATATAAATATATTATATAGGCTAGGGTAACATTTTATTAAGCCCATATATTTAGTACCCATGATAAATATTGAAATGAATTTTTCATCATAATTTAATATATACATATTAGAAAATATATATACTCATAACACCTTCATATTGTAGTTAAGCTATTTGAAAAACAGAGAGCAGGCAAGTGACCTTAATAGAAATTGCTTTTATTGCATAGTAGTAATATTATTATTTGATTAATTTTGGCCTAATGGTTGAGTTTTTTCAGTTAATTATATTATATAACTAACTGAAAAAAACTAAGTTATTTTAATAATAAATTTAAATAGTTAAATTTAAAAGTTACTTAGAAAAAGAACAAACTAATATAAAGTTAAAAATAAAAAAAAATTAAACTTAATTAACTATTTAACTAGTTAATGCATATCTTTGGAAAAGGAGATTTCAGAATTTTCAGAACGCATAATACATATGATAGGGAGTTTGACAGCATTGAAGTGGAATAACATGGTGTAACAAAAAGTAAGAAAGAACGCGTTCGAACGCTGAGAAAATTAAAAACAAATACTAGACAAAAGCTGAAGGGAATCAATATTTCCACCCGCAATAAAGAATATAAAATTAAGATTGATTTCATTTTGCAATAAAATAAGCGACAGATATTAAGTGCAAGGAGAACCAAAGAGTGAAGGACAAGGAATATTAAATTTTTAAGAACGTGAACATAAAAATTTTCTCTGGAGTTTGTCAACCAAAGTTCTATTATTAGTAGCCAGAAGATCTCATAAAATTAAGTCGTACTTGAGGATAAGATGAATAAGTCATAATTTTGAATGTTAAAAGCAGATTAAAATATTGGGAGTGCAGTAATAAAAACATAAGAAGTTTAAGAGTTTTACAACACTTTTTTTTGGATATGTGTAACAGGGAAATGGTTTTTACGAAGAATGAAAGCAAAATAACTAATGGTCCATTAGCTTTTTTAATGGGCATATATTTATATAGTAAGTAAAGAACATAGATGAAAGAAACCAAAAAAAAAGAATATGGATATTATTTTGTGTGTTTGAAGGATTGGATGAGGTATATTAATCAATCACTTTGTGATATGTATTAAACCCAAACCAATCATTAAATTTTTGTTATGCAATATTTCTACTGATAAACTAAACAATTTTTAGGTACCTCTAAAATTTCCTTTTTTAATTTCTAAAAAAAGTAATCTTACAATAAATAATCTGGTTAAGTAAGAAATTTATGCTTCTGGTAATTTTTCCCACTTATTGTATAATAATTATTAGAAGTAAAGAGCAAAAAAAATTATGCGATTTTTGAAAAGTGGGTAGCAATTTTAAAGTTTAAAATGTTTATTCTACCTACTATATTTAACAAGTGCCACGTGTTTTTAGGGTTTAGAACCTCCCACCCTCGAAAATTTTACGAATTATAATGTTATTAGCTTAAACTTGGTAAAATTGAATGGAGAGGTCGAATCTTAATTTTTAGACTACTAAATTTTGGACCCACTGGAAAGCATATATATATATATATATATATATATATATATATATAAATGGATGATGCATTATAGGGGTATATATAAGGTATTTAAAAATGGTTACAATAGTTTTAAGTAAAACTATGTTTAAGAATTGATACAATTTACTGAATTTAAATATAGTACTTTTTTTATGGATTTTTCCCATTTTCGTGGAATGAGGGATATTTTTTCAGGGGCAACTATACGTCAATCATTTGACGGATTTAGTCTAATCAGAGCTAAGAAAAAGTAATAACGGACAGAAAAAAATAAAATTAAACACCACACAGTAAGATTAATACGTTATCAGCTTTGCACCGTAGCTAAAATAAAGTTTAAAAACTTTTTTTTAATATTGTACCTATTTTAAGAGTAAAGGAATGGCTTATGATAAACCCATATATATATATATATATATATTACCTTTACTGGTTTATTAATTGGAAATATTTTTTAAAGAGAGATAATATCAATATCAATACTCATTGATATTGTTGGAATAATTTTGATAAGAAATATTATTTATAACAAATTAACCTTAATATCACTTATATATGAATACTTCACTTTGGTTTTTAAAAAAAATAAATAGTTAAAAATCTTAGTTATTTTTGTTTCTTATGTAAATAACTATTGTCTATGGGGATCATACCATTGCTGATGGTATTGTTACATGATGAGTAAAACCGTATAAATTAGATAATAATGTATGAGTAATCGGTACAACGGAAGCAGGTACAAGAAAGTACTTTAGGATTTTTAGTGTATTTTATTTTTTAAAACTAAAACGTAAAACTACTTACTTATCTTATCTGCCCTCAAGATGTTTATACTTTTATTTCATGAGAATTATACTTTCTTGTACTATATTTCTTATTTTTAAAACGGTTTTAAACTTTCTAACTGTGTTACATAATCTGTTCAATTTCTTATTATATTTATATCGATGGTATCAAGCACGGAAGTGAAACAGCTTAAGTGAGAATTTTGTTTGTATACTAAACGAATGATAACTAACTATTACAAAAGAACTAGTATATAATTCTATAGTATAGTAGTAAACAAAATTTTAAATTAAAATAGATAAATGAGAAATATTGGGACAGTCTGTTATCACAATCATAAGCTAATGTACTTTCATATTATGGATAAATATATATCCATAAGTGTTTGTATTTATATATTATATTGTATAAATACAAAAATTTCAATGGATTTTAGCACCTATCAAAGTAAAATATATGATAAATACCTTATAAATAATATTTTTCGATTGTAACAACAAATATTGTTTGTTTTTTCGATTTTTTGTCATTTAGTTGTTATACACATTGATATATTTATAAGTATAATTACATCGTTTGTAATAGTGTTAATTCATAGATTAAATTAGGAAATTTTAAGGAGAAATTAGTAATCTAAATTAATAATTTACACGTGTACCTACTTAAAAATATATCCATCAAATATCCTATTTTACTTAAACATATGTAAATATCACTTACTCATTATACTGAGTTCATTTAAATATTATTTTGAATTTTTTTATTTAAGTAAGGTTAAGGCTATAAGTCTTAATAAAATATTTTGGTTCATCACTAGATTCGTATTAATTATTTAATTTTATACTTGTATTTTTTAAGTGTTATAATATGTGATTAAATGAGATTGATTTATAGAAAGGACTCATAGAGTTTAAATCTCTGTCACTTCAGATTATATTTATTTGTATTAATTTAGTATTTATAAACCCATAAAATATTATTTATCTATAAATTCTTTATAAAAAAACTTCTCATATTTTTTATTTATTATAATTTTGTAAATATATGAAATTTTTTTATTTCTATAATAAAGATAAGTTTTTTTTAATTTTTTAATTGNTTTTTTATTTCTATAATAAAGATAAGTTTTTTTTAATTTTTTAATTGAATATCGAAGAACTTTTCATTATGTTTAGTTCAATAGACATATTTTAAGTAGGATATAATGTATAAGATAATTTTAATTTTATTTTTGAATACGTTGCTTAAACTTTTCAATTACTTGAGGAAATTTGTTATGAATCATCGTTATGAATAATTCATCAATTTGTATTTATTTTAATGTTTAATTGTATCTCTTAATGTTTATAGATTTAAATGTTTGACGTTAACATCACTTAGGTATTTATTTTAAATGAAAAATAACAGTGTCAAATAGCAAATTAAAAAGTACAAAATGTTCCAAATGTCATGGTACACAAAAGCGTGGATTAAAAGTGACGTGAATAATAATTATTAAACTTATATAAATTACATTCATGGAATAATTATAATGTTGTAAAGTTGTGTGCATTTTTGTATTTTTGAAAATAGACGTGTCACATGTTTTTGAAAAATGTGTTTGTTGACTTAATGAATTTATTAAAAATAAATAAATACTCAGGTTTACAAAAAACATTTTTATTTCAACAGTCTTCTTACAAAAATTTCCAATAAAAAAAAAGTATGGGCTTTTAACAATAAACCATCAATTACGACTATCAAATCGCTTATTTACTAATAATAGTATCGTGTTTGATGAATACAAATAAATACATTCGTAAGAAGAGAAAACGCCCATTGGGAATTTATTCTTGTTTTCGTATGAAGGAAAAAAAACAATATCATTAATCATAATATTGAAATACTTCCCTTGAACGAGCACTTTCATTTTGATATTATTCTAACGTAGTATGTTTAAATTTAATTATTTTATTAGTCCCTAAAATTATAGTTCATCGTGTTTTGGTCCAGAGAATTCGTCATGCGATATGAACCCGTTTTTGTCTTTGTCTTCGTGTTGGAAAATTTCTTCTACCAATTTTTCATGGTCGGACATCATTTGTTTGATGTCTTCGCCGCCTTCTGTTCCTTCGGCGGCTGCCATTTGCTTTTTCAGATATTCGCTGACTTCATCCCTGGAGAGTTGTTTGTCCTTGTCTTGATCGATTTCTCTGAACACATTGGTTGTGGGTGCTTGATCACCAACGTTCAAAAGTTCAACATCAAAGATCAAAGTGGCGCCTATTTAAAAAAAAGTATAAAGAATTACATGAAAATTGCAAATTAAATGTTTATAGTGTTGAAAAATGATTTAAAGGAATATGGGATAAGACGGGGACTTTAACGTTTGGAGATTCATTAAGTACTTAAAAATATTATATATATATATTTGAAACTTTCAATATATAATATTAAGCTAATAATTATAAAATTATAAAATAGGATATTTTTAAATAAATACATTTTTGTATATTAAAAAATAAAATAAAATAAGAGGCGTTCGGCCCAATAATTCATTAAGATGGGATTGGTAAAACGGAAATAAAATAATAATCAAAACAGCTGGGAAATTAGTAGATTAATAAATAATTCAATCAATATTATTGAATAATTCTTTAGTATATATATAGCAAATCTATATCTCGAGTATAATTATGACAATTGTAAAATTAAAATGTATAAAGTATATGGGATAACGATTATTACATACCTCCAGGAATAACATTTCCTGCTCCACGGTCACCGTATGCTAATTCTGGTGGAATTGTCAACTTTCTCTTTTCGCCGACACACATCTTAGTTAATCCTAAGTCCCATCCCTTAATTACTTGTCCTACTCCCAATTGGAAAGTAAATGGTTGGTCTCTGTCATGGCTGTAATAAAAAAAACAAGTTGTTAAATTTAATGGGTTTTAATAATTAATTAAATAGTTGAAAACTTCATCCTGAAGGGTGTGTAAAGGTGACCGTAAGGCCATCGTGTATAAAGAATTCAAAAGGTAAGGAATAGTGTTGATCTCTCGACGGACCCTTTAACTCGGTTATCCTAGTTACAATTAGAAAGGACAACTCAGTTACTTTTAACCACCAAACTTTAATCATTTGGAACTTTTTTATGTCCAAAGTTTTTAAGCGTAACTGACAACATTAAGAATACGAAAACAAATAAAATGAAATTAATTTTTCGTGCTCATCGGGTCGGAATAAATTCACGCACCTGTCTGTGACACTGCACAAATCTTAAATAATACAAATGAACCCTGGGTCTATCATAAAGAGGTTGTCAAAGAAAATTTATCTATTCTATATCTTCGTTAAAACTATTATATATATAATTAAAATATACCTATTATTTTCAAACATAAGCCACCAACAAAACCATAAAGCTGAAATTTGTTTACATTGTTTCATATATAAAATGAATAGTTATTGACCAAACCTTTCTGAAAAATAAAACTCTACTCTACACAACTCAGTTTTAGGTTTAAGAGCTAGTTTCAACTAGTTCTAATAAGACACTTATTGTCATTAATTGTAATTAAACAATTAAGATATGCTTCTATGGATTCAGTTAATAATCAAAGTTTAATTTCATTTTGACTTTTGACATGATTGGGTGTTGAGCGAATAATAGTGGGCTAGAACAGTAATGGTTTTAAACAATTATACAATTTAATTAAAAGACATTAAGAATAATACTTTGCCCGTAGAAAGTGTATGATTTGATTCGCAGATTTGATTTGACAATACTCGATATAAAAATTGCAATAACAATAGCTCAAGAGTAGAATAACGAATGAATAACGCTTGCAAATAATTAAGCAGCTTGTTTTCGCATTGTAAAATCAAACGGTAGTTATAAACACATTAAATCGTTTAATAACCGGTGTGTAGACGAGACTTCATGACGTGGAAAGTACTCGAAGATTATTGGGATTCTATGCGTCAGCGACATCACAGTCCATCCGGTTTGGAAAGCGTATACATTTAAAAAGCACCATGGTCAGCCGGTGAAAGCAGAAAACATGAACCTTTCGCCACCTCGCACACAATAACTGTGTAAATTATTTACGACGACAAATTAAAATTGTTATTTTTTTCAAATTTAATTTACTCGTTCACTTGTACAATTGACTAACATTTTATTTATAGCAATGACTGTACTTGCAGTTAACATCCGGGTATCAAAACTTTCGTATTCAAATGAGCAAATTAATCAACTTGTTTTTTAATCAATGACTCGGATTTTAATGAAGACGAACTGTATGTCAAAGTGTTTTCATTACAGATTACATCTCGTTTACACAAATTTTATGATAATTTTAAAATTGAATATCATAGCCAATAAAATAAGCATTCGTCTCGCTTATTCTTTATCGCACATTAGCGGCGAGTAAAATTTTTATCAGGATGTAATTATAGATTAAATGTATGCTAAGATTTACTATATTATGAAATAGTTACTTTCGCTTTCATTTGTTACGGGGTTTATTACCTACGTAAAAATCTAAAAATATTGTTTTTATTTTACTTTCTTAGAAAAAAAAACACACAAGTTAAGATTCTCTTTTCACTTTCCATGTGCGACCTTGGTTGTCAGTGATAATTAATTCCCGAAAGCCAGAAATAATGTTATAATCGTGAATACTCGTAAAATTGTTTAATTCTTTTTTAAATTAGTTAAAAACGAGTTTTACAACGAGTGATTTCGTTAGAAGAGCCAAAATTATATAATATACGCTTCAGAGAAATACCTTCGTTCCATTTTAAGCAGTTATAAGCATTATGTAATAAACATCTTATGTGCGTATTATGCTCATAGCATTTTTAAATCCTAGCATTATTTAATTTCTTAAAAATAAAATGATATAAACATTCACAGATTTACAATGGCTTTAATGAGTTGTTTGAAATTTTAAAATGCAAAAACTTTGAAATTATGTACATTTTTTTGCTTGTTATAGTTATATTAATGTGAAAACTCGTTTGTTAAGAATTGGAATTTACAAAAAATAAAGTATAAGCACAAAATTAGTTTTACTAAAAAAAATGATATTATTATTTTTGGCTATTGGGGTGGCCTTACTGATAGCCATTAAATTTCAGAACATCGTTTGTATAAGAATTTGTTTTATTATGGTAATGTAATAACAGTAGATGTTATGACAGAGTAATGAACGATGAAAATTTATTTTTATTTACTCTTTGTCAGTTAATTCAAAGTGATCAAACTTATTCATGGAAGTATATAAGTATACTTTGTAATATTTAATAACTTTTAGAGCGTATAATTTATCGAGTTTGACATTATAACGTTTTACATAGTCAATAGGTATTGATAAAGTATATAATTTGACACGAAACAACGTTATGCTTGACGATTTCATGAATAGGTTAAAGGAATTTCAAGTAAATGTTAATAATATGAAATACCAAACAGTGTTAACACGCAGCGTTAATACCATGTGTTAATTATTGTAAGTATACTGTCTAAATATATTTGTTGTAATAATAAAGTCAAGAAAAATTAAAAATTTCTGAAAGGTTTATGGTTACTAACAATTATTTATAATTAAAAAATAGTATTATGAATGACATTAATTTTTTCTGAAAAAGAACTGTGTGTATTTTAATTTTTTTTTATTTAAAAGAATAAATAGGATATTGTCGAAAAATGTTCTAATGTATCGTAAAGTATTTTATAATTTATATAAAATTTAAATCGAATTAGAGTATTGTATTGTATAATTAGTTTAGGTTATTTATGTAATTGGATGTTTAAGCTTACAATAGCTATAAAAACTCATAAATGAATAGTTAAGTTCAATTGTTAATGAAGTTCATTAGACATTTAAAATGGTTGCTTGCATTATAAATAAAAACTTATAAATGCACCAAGAGAATAAAATACCAGTACAGTATGATAAAGAAATGAAACTCTAGTTTATAATAACTGTTGGTTATAAATTTTTTTTTTTTATAGTCATATATGTATAGGTGTATGGTATAATGTAAAATTAAACTAAAACGTTGCTCTTTGTATAATTGCTGAGTCAGAAATGAAAAGGCTTAAAAAGGGTCATAGTATTTTTATTTTATTTTTCTATAAAGATGTTTCCTTGGTTTTGTGGTTTTCTCGTTCTCTTTACATAATTTTAAATTCAAATGACCCTCGATCTCATAATTTTAATATAGCTTAAAAACTATGTTATTTTTAACAATAAACATTCTTGTAGAACTTATATTGTTTTTCGTTTGCTTTTATTATTAATTCTCATATAATATTTAAACATTTAATAAATATCTTTATGGTGCAATAAAGAAAACTTCATAAAATCATGAGTAAGAAGGTTTGAACTAAACATTTTTTAGTTTGAGCAATTGTTGTGTTCAAACTTGAGATACTTAAGGTTTTATTTTAAGTATATATTCGATTCCCGTAGATATTAATTCTACATGAACAATCAAAAACAATATAAATGTTTTTACTAGAATAAACTTCGAAAGAGAATATCAAACACGGTTTGATTTGTAAGTATCTATAAATTTTGCATTGCAATAAATAGGAACTTGAAGTTTTTTCATAGATATTGTAAGTCTAAGTCTTAGGCGAAAAGAAAAATGCAATTAATACTATAGAACAACACAATTCTATTATTTTTAACGCGATGTGATTAATTTTAGTTCTGTACTGTCTATCAATCGGTGATGATAATTAATTAATTATTTGCATTTAACAATATTTTCGATGTATAAAGATTATATCTAATGGAATTTCTATTACTTTATAAATAATGAGTTTACTTTCAAGTAGTTGATAATTACAATTAACCTAAAAAAAGAGTATTTAATATAAAACTTCATAATGGATATTTTTTTTATTTTAAATGCAAATTTATTGAAAAAATATTTTTTTGATATGTCCCGTATATATATTTATTAAATTGTTTCGATTTTTTTCTTGTAGTTATTTTTATATTTAAACGTTTACAAATTATACTAATCTAATATTTTATTAAAAAGCTGTCGGCAACATCTCCAAAAACTCCAAATGTTTGTACATTGAGATGTTTTACATAAAATAGTTATTCATTTTGATTTTATTGATAAAATATTCAACACAGTAAAAACGCTCAGGACGAGTGAGGGATAACGTTTGATATAAATCTTTGTGGGATGCCATGAGTCGCGTTGTAGCCGACTTTCGTAGCAGGTTAATCGAAAAATTCGGTTTCCGGTCTAGTAGACGTTAACTTAATGGAGAAACCTATGTTAAGTTCAGAGAATGAAGTAAAAAGAAAGAAAAGAAAAGGGTCTTTTATTTCGTTTGACCCAAGTTACGTACTTATTTTTCCCTTACCCAACTGTCGTGGTCATCTTGTTCAAGTCAGGCGTAATGCTAAAATCAGCATTATAATTTAACTTTTATACTTGTTAATAGATGAAGTTAATAATAAAAGCTCGTCTAGGAAAAGTTTGTAAAATATTCCATTAGTTTAGAGTAGTATCAAGTAGTTATAGGTATATAGTATATATCAGATTATAGGACAAACAATAATGGATTTTCATGATATATTTTCTCTTTAATATTCGCTGTTTAAGATGTGTAATCCGGGTGGTATAAATAATAAATGATAATATAATATATTGTCTACATGATGACTAGAGTACGTCTCTAGTCTCCACGATGGCCACCTAGAGTGCCAATTGTAACCTTATTAAATGAAACGTCTTAAGACGAAAATATAGATAAAAATACTCATAACTTATACTTGCATTTAATCAAGATGTTGGTAAAATATTCATAAAATTATACTGGCAAGTTATTTTTGTACGTGATAACAGCTTCTTGGTGTCTCGAGGGATCTAACGCAAGACTTGAGTTTTAAAAATCATGTTAATCCTAAGTCTATTGTTGTTTCTATCCTAAAGAATTTTATAAAGTATAGTCGTCTCTTGGAAGGCAAAGTCAACCACAAACAATTACTTACGAGTTAGATATATGAAAAAATAAAATTAAAATACTAACTTTATTATACAAATAATACATATTTATCTCCTATATTATACTTAAATTCGACTAAAAGTCATGTTTTCGCTCGTACAAAGTAACGTACAATAAAAATATAACAGTTTTTTTATAAACTCATCATAATATCATGATAGTGTCATTATAATATAATACAATGATAGTGTTTCTGAACACTATTTACGGACCATTCAGGTATTTTATACGCTTAACGTTACATATTTAATGCCAACGTACTACGAGATCGTTTATCATTTTGTTCAGCGAAACGTTTTCAAATGAAAATAACAACCGATTACATTTGAACGCAAGTTTTTTTAAACGTACCACCGTCGTACACACGCACTCGCCCCCGACATAACGTACACATGACAAATGATTCACACCAGCTTTCCGAAAAATAAATGTTTCTTGGTCGGATGTGATCATCTCATGAGCTCAGTTCAAAAAACTATTTTTTCACCTTTATGAAAAAGGATTTTGCGAAATTTCAAATGACACTTTAACATATTTTTTACTGTCCCGTTTATATATGAGAAGTCAAAAAAGCTCACACAGTTTTATGATTATATTGTAAATATTACAGATATTTGTAATATCTAAACGCGTATAACAATTAAAATTTAGTGATATTATTTTAAGATAGCAGATTGATAACTTTTAACATACAACAAAAGCTTTATAAGTATTTTGCTTTGCATAAGTCTAAAGTGAGAAGACATTGAGCTACCTTTTGCTTTATTAGAGAAGATTCTATTAATTAAATATTTAAAACTTAAATTCACAAAATTGTTAGGAAATACATAAAAATATTCAATAAATCATTTTTGTCCTTGTTAGTGTTCCATAAATGTTGATCGTTAAAAGGTTTTTGAGTAGTTTAACGTAGCGTGATATCGCATGTGTATATATTTAAACATAAATAAGCGTTTTACGGTATTATTGAAGTCTGGTATTTAACAAAGTTCACATAAATTATCCACATTGTGCTATGATCTCGAATGTTAGCGCCACATGAATGAAAAAAATTAATAACGGATTTACGACCCCCTATGAATGCTTTGAGTTACTTATTGAAGTGATATTGAAAAACACATAAATATAATTTTTGTACAATTCATAAATACTGAATACCTGCCTAAGTTCCTTAACACAGTTAAATTTAATATTAGTCAAATATTCATAATAACCATCTTTATTTTCATTACTCTGGGCTTACAATGGTAATTCTTAAAATATTTTATTAATGTTCAAAATTAACTTTGGTATTTGTATGGGTACATTTAAGCAATGTTGTTTAATTATGAAATCAAATATGAAACGATTTAATATAAGTTGATTTATAAATAATTTAGAATAATTTGTAGTGTTTCCACTATAAAAAGTTTTACTAGTTTTTATTGTCGCTTAAACCAAAATTTAAAAGTGAACAGGATAATATGATAGAAGAAATGTTATTGGAATTAGGAGAAAATGCTATTAATTTACGAATTACTGACTCATTCCTAAATTTTAAAATTATCTTCTATCATTCAAATTTAATGAAATTACATCTTAAGTATTTATGCATGCAATCATACAACACAAATATAATTAATTTGAGTGGAATTTTTACGTTAAATTTTACTTATTAAAAAGTTTGCAATGCAGACTCTACACGACTATTTGTTATTTAAGTAATATATGTAAAAATATTATGTTTTATAATTAGATTAGTATATTTTAACTTTAAGTTTACCAGAAGCCTCTTCATTTTTATAATATGTTTAAAATAAAGAATATGGAAACGATTTAGTAATAAATAATTGCTGGAAGTATAGAGTAACTTTCAAATAAAATTTTTTATAGTCTTGTATCATCATAGAAGATTGTACTATAAATTGTAAATTTAATTACGTGCAAGTAGTTAAAAATTCTCGGACAGATAAGTACAAAGATTGCTTTTTTATCATTTTATTTGATATACGATAACAATATTAAATACCAATGAACTGTTTCTAATTTTGTCTATTAATTTATGTGGCTTATATTCCAATGTAATATTATTCATGTTTTTTAGTTTATACCAGAATTAGTTTCTGATAAAATGAAGTATCAAAACATTTTTTACAAAGCCCATAATTATGTTAAAAATATTTGAAATTTTTTTTGTGTAATTCACTAACCTAGAATCGAATTTGGTTCCGTCCACTAATTTTCCAGTGTAATGCATGGTGAGCATGTCATTGTTCTTCGATTTTGGTTCACAGCCATCTAACGTAAAGACGTATTCAATTTTGAGGCCATTAGGCAATGTTTCTACTTTATTGTCGGCGGCATTGCATGAGATGGCTAAGTATGCGACTATCGCGAAAACGGATAACCGAAACCAACTGGATTGCATCGTGTTTCCGTGAATTTACTACGAGTAGGTAAAACTAATAATAACCAAAATTAAAAAACAAATTTTGTTATAGAAACGTGGCAAAATGAAATGAACACGACTACAGAACTGACGGTCGACTATTTGACGACTAACAGACTGTTGAACGTCGTCGTGGCTCTTTCGCTGACCTTCCCTCCTTTCCTTCAATTCAATTTTTATATCCAAGTGTTCTTTCACTGTACGCTGGCAGCGCTCCTATCGACGGCTTTTGAATTATCTTCCAAAAACTTTTTTAGAAAACACATTTATACATTAAAAAGAATTGATCATTTTATAGATGGTATATTTTAATGTTTGCATGTTAACGAAATTCATAAGTAAAACATAACAAAGTGAATAGTTTACGAAAATTAAATAGTTGTGTGGAATAACTTCTACCACATTTAGTTATTCAGTCAAAGAGTTCACAAAGAGTGGGGTACAATTGTATTATTCTTTCAATCGAGTACGCAATATTCTGTTATGAAAATAATTTTTATTTTAAATCAATCAAATTTTCACAAAGCAATGGTTCGCATAATAACATACTTAAATATTATGTTAATAAAATCAGCGCCATAGCTATGAAGGGGTATAAGAATTTACTCGAAAGTGGTCCTTTCAATAACAAAACTGCATTGACAGTTGATGAACTTTCTTTTTTTTTGGGCTAACCATAGTTCAATTATGGTATTTAAGAGGGCTAATATTTTAGTTTGTATTCAGTACTGGATCTGTAATAAGAGCCTGATTTTCATGTAACCTTTAAAAAGTTTTTCAAAACCCTAATATTTCAATTTATTTTATTTTTTGAAGCGTTAATATGTACTTAAGGATTTGAATCTTTTAAAGAAAGTATTGACCAAAAATATTTGAAATATGGTAAAAATACTACTTGATATATTGTGACTAATTCCTAAAAAGTTCATTAATTAATTCTAATAATTATAAAACTTATTGATTGATTTAAAAAAGTCAAATTGGTCATCTTGTCCTACTTTTTACTCCCATAAGAAATTATGAATGTATTATACAATTTTTTAATTGGTCTACCGAATAATTTGATTAAGAATTAAAGTTTAAAATATTTTTTATTTGTGGTTTTTTTTAGCTATTGCAATAACAAAATTGTAATTTATTTTTTCATGCTCAAGTTAAAATTTTACACGTCGTAAAACTACAATATTATATTTTTCTTATAAAAAAGATATCAGAGCGATTAAAAAAAACACACGTGTTCATTTAAATTATTTTCGAAAATTTTGTCATTGTTTGATTAATATATTTGAAGAATTTCTATAAAAATGTGCAAAAATAACTATATTTTTTTAATTAAAATTGATCATCTTGCTTCAAGCGTCAACTTGCCCTTTGCTCCCCTAATGTTAAATAGCTTTAAGGAAAATTCTCTTAAATACTTTTGTTTGGTATAAAATATTATTTTTAAATAGAAAACAAACATAGTATGGATTAATAAAGAAATATAATTTAAATTCATTAATAATTGTTTTAGGTTAGGTAAGATTTAAAAATGTATTCCCAAGTTGTTCAGGAAAGTATTCTGCCAAAGCATGATAAAAATTGTGTTGTAATTCTCGTTATAATTTTAAAACTGATGGATTATTAATTACAGCAGCGTTTTATGTATAATTCTCTCTTTAAATAATAATTTAATTAAAGTTTATAATCATATAAAAATAGAGTTTTATTTAAAAATCAATTATCAAAATAAAGTAAAATTAAAGAGAATTTTAGAGATAACATTTATCTATGTGTTTGAAATAAAGATTGGCTTTAGATGAAAAGTAAATGTTAACAAACAATTACAAGAATTGAACAAATGTTGTAAAAAAAGATTATTTATTTGAGTATTCAAACAGTTAGTAGGATAACGTGACAGGTGAATGAAAACTACTGAGATTTAACTGAAAAATTCTGATTATAATAAGTCGCGTTTCTAGTAATTCTTACAACAAAGAAAATGTCTGAATTAAGTTATACTTCAATACACATTAGTAAACGTTTTCAACATTTACTAATAATTTTAAATTTTTGTCATAGTTAATTATAAATATTTTTACATTATTATCATAGAAAATTTTTTAGAGCACAAATATTTATTAATGAAATGAGGAGTATGACATCAAAATATAAATTAATAAAGAACTTTAAAAATTAAATACTATTCATTGGCGAGCTATTTTAAGTATAAAAAAACTTAATAAAAAAAATACAATTCATTAAGGTAAATTTGTTTAATAAATGTAAAAACTTTTTAATTAAAAAACGAATTCACGATTCTTTAACATTAATCTCATTATTATTAATTCATTATTATCATTAACCTCATTATATTTTTGATAATTATTATTTTTATATTGCTATTGGGATATAATACAAAATTTAGTAATAAGAACTTTTATAGTACGGTCATTTTACAATTTAGTGGAAACAGATTTAATATAGATTAAAGAAACGCAGATGACGTTCGTGATGTTGAGGTTTTCCGGCGGATTTGTATCTTTGGATTTAATATTTATATAATATATACATTTTTTGTACACCGCTTGCAATACGAATAACTGTACACTGGGTACACATTGTATCACAAATGGTTAAAAAGTGATGACCTCGTTAAAACAAGGGACGAGGGAAAAATAGCTGGTAAATTATAAATAAATCGAACTTAGGTATGCTAGTCGTGACCGCTTTAATACGATACATTCATATAGTGATGTTCCTTTGCCTTGTATGACCTTTTGAAGCAACGCTGGGGTCATGCAAAATTCATCTAGGCTTTTTGTGGCCATCCATAAGATTATCGTGTATGCTTACTCAAGAAATACGAGAATGATTAGAATTTTTTAGCACGTCTATTCTATAGTAGAATTCATTACTTTCTGTGTTCAAGAACTGGATATGCTTATATTTGTAAGTTTGCAGACAAAGTTATTATTCATGTGATTTTTTTTTTTATCAAATTTAGCTACATGTTATTTAACATAGTTTAGTAAAAAAAAATAACTTTTACTTTAAATGGAAAAAAATTGAAATTTTGTTTTATTTAACAAAATAATTATTACACTACTCATTATTTTATTTGTAATTAGCATTTAATTTAAACGCGCAGTGGAATTTGCAAACCTAGTGTATAAACAGAACATGAGCATGTTATAACCATATGGCTGTTTCGAAATAATGTGTTTCATGTTACAACTAAAGTAGTCAAAATATTCCATAAAGCAAACTATATTAGCGTTAATTATTTGCTGTTATATCATTAAATATAACAGTAGTTCAGTTATACTTAATTATATTATCATTTTTAAATGATAACAATGAGACATGTGATACATGATGTCTATTTAAATTTATTAGCTTCAATCTAGTAACTGTATATTGTTAAGAAAATAGTCAAATAAATTACAAAACTAAAAGTTTAGTGGTATTACGAGTGTACTTGATTTTTGATAATTTAAGGTTCAAAAATAATATCTCTGAAATGGGTAATTTAAACAATAAAATAAATTTTTTAAATATGTCATTGACATATTAATTAATTAACAGGTCAGATAATATACTTAATAGTACTACAAACTAATTTTTGTTATTAATTGCTATTTATAAAGTGGAAATCAATTTGAAATTCAAATATATAATCAAATTGAAATTATAATTCACTTTAAACAAAAAGATAATTTAAAAAATTTAATTGTCAAAAATTATTTAGGTATTTTTACTTTTGTTCGGTATAATAAACAGTGAAGTTTTTATACATCTGTTTATTTTATAAAATCTTCATACGTATGAATAACTAGTGAAGTGAAATTTAAGTTTATTTATTTACAAAACGTAAATTATTCGTTGTTGGCCAAGATAAGGGGGAGCATAGCCAAAGAATCATTAACAAAACCATATTTTGAACCTTTTTATGCTATTCAATTCAAATAATTTGGCCAATAAAAGGACATGGCCCTTATGCCATCGCTTAACTACGTCACTGTATTTTTTTATTTTGTTATTCCAAATAAGATCCTCAACATTACGGAATAATTAACATGTAAAATTTTAGAAAAACAATAATCAAATATTATTCATACTTATTTTCGCTACACATAAATTATTTTTATTTAGTTTATTCAGACGAATAATAAAAGAAAACATCATTGAGCTTAATTATTGTATAGTGATCATTTTTTATACTATAAATTGCGTTCGTAAGCGCTAAGTGAAAATTGGCATAGAAGTCAATACATAAGATATAATTTTTTATTCAGCTTTCTAAGTGTGTTTGTATACACTAAATTGGTTTTTTATTTATAAATGATAAAAAATGAACAAAATTATTTTTTAAACTTTGTGCTGTATAAAAGTTTATACTATAAACTAATAACTTAGATTATATTTATCCCATAGATACCATTAACTCGATATATATTGTTTTTATATTTATTAAGTCATAATAAAATAAAATAGATACATAAAACTCACACAAGGGACGTATTATACATTAAGTTCAATAATTAAATACAAAATAGAGTTATCAAATATCTATGGCATGACCAAAAAGTGGGATTAGTAAGCCAAACTATTCAAACGGTCTTGTTGTATTGTTCTAAATATTACATTAATGCACGATTCAAGAGTCTTGAGTCTAGGAAAAAGTTTTATTTTTATAACGTCTGATGAAAATAACTTAAGTGTAATTATTTTAAATAAGAGCTAAATGCTTATTGTATTTATTTCATAATTACTATTTTAATTACTTAACGTGCTCGGGTTTTCAAATTTTTTTTTCAACGATATAATAGATGCATAAAAATAAATAATAGATTATAGAGTAAGGATATAAAAAATTACTCACCATCGTAAAATGCATATTTAACGTAATTTTAATATTACTGAACTGAATTAACTTAAAATTAACTTGAAACACATTATTAATTCAAGTTAAAAAAGTAACGAAATAAATTAAAAGTTAAATCGCTTAAAAAAGTAATGAGTTATTTAATTAAACTTAATTAAATTAACTTAACTTTTTAACAAGTTAATATCCAGTCTTTTAAGTTTTATTAACGTTTTAAACTAGTTTTAATCAATCATTTTAAAAATTGACCATTTATTTAAATTGCTTAAAACCATATTTTATTATATGATAGAACTAGAAAAAAAGCTTTTATGAAAAAATTACTTAACGTGCTCGGGTTTTCAAATTTTTTTTCAACGAAAGTACTCGGTCACAAGTCTCTGAGTAAGTTATTGGCCAAGGTCATTTTTGCCGCGAGCCTGCGAGCGTTTTAAAATTTCGACCATTTTTGAGAAAAACACTCGCCAATGCCAGTGTTTTATGACTTAAGGATTGAAATTTTCATCAGACTTGCTCAATGACATTTCTGAGATATCCTACAAAAATCAATTCAATCCATTAATTTTTCATCGTTTTACGACCTATTTTTTTAAATTTATGTCCACGCACATGGTGTTAATATGGGCAATGACTCATTTTTACGCATATGTTTATTGTGACCCTTAATTTGTAAAATATGTATTTTTATGACGATTTAATTTTTTATTCAATTCATAATTAATATATGTAATTGTTGTCATATATGAATTGATTGTTTTAGTTTATTACTATCTTTTTTTTTTTGATATTATGTTTGATATTTTTAAATACAGGGTGGCCCACCACTCACTGACAACTTAAATAACTTTTGATCCAGTTAATATTTTTAGCTGACTTTTTTTTTTAAATAATAGTTATACGTTAGGTCTATAGCTATATCTCAATAATTAATTTTTTTACATTTTATTAAAAATATTAATTATTTTTAAATTTTAAATAAAATGTAAAAAAAAAATCTAAGATAGCTATTTTGTAGAGTAGAATTTAAGAAAAATTTTAGTAAAAAAATATCTTATTAATATTCAGTAGTAAATATTCTGTAGCGTTTTGAAGTTTGTGAAAATTTGAATTTTCATGTACTATTTTACGGTATTAAACATTGAAATACGTATTGAGAAAAGGACAGAAGAAAACGCTATCTTTTCATGATTACTGTGTATACATATGATGATAGTGTGTATACATTACAAACTTGGCATAAATACCATGATAAGAAATTAGATAAGGCAATTATTACTTATCACTCTCATTCAAAAGTATAAGTCATTTTCATGGAAAAAGTTACACACCTCCAAATTATAGTAATAATGAAAAGATAGCGTTTTTTCTGTCCTTTTCTCAATACGTATTTCCATGTTTAATACCGTAAAATAATACATGAAAATTCTAATTTTCACAAACTTTAAAATCATACAGACTATTTACTACTGAATATTAATAAGATATTTTTTTACTAAAATTTTTCTAAAATTATACTCTACAAAATAGCTATCTTAGATTTTTTTTTACATTTTATTTAAAATTTAAAAATAATTAATATTTTTAATAAAATGTAAAAAAATTAATTATTGAGATATAGCTATAGACCTAACGTATAACTATTATTTAAAAAAAAAATCAGCTAAAAATATTAACTGGATCAAAAGTTATTTAAGTTGTCAGTGAGTGGTGGGCCACTCTGTATATTATAAATAAAAATGAAATATATTTACCTTCAATGCAGAGACGTATTAAGGGGAGGACTAGAGGGACTGGCTCTTGGTGGCATTATATTTTTAGATAACAATATTTACAGTCATGCATAAAATTTGTTCTCAATAACTTTTATTTTGCTCATCAATATTTTGGTGATTAACAATGCAGAAAAAAAATTTTTGGTGAGTAAAAAAAAAGGGTTATCAAAAAAATTTTTTGAAGGTGGCACACATAAACACCCAGACGCCAAATTTCTGAATATGTTTTTGCTTTAATGCGAAGTGACCGTATTTTCCACGATGTCTTTTCGTGCCTGTCCATGAAAATTCAGCTGTCATTGAATGATTTTGCTGATATGTCAAAAAACACGAAATTAATTTTATTAAGCTTATCGTCTTTAAAAATTGAAAAGCTCTGTTCTATTTTTTTTGAGAAATATGGAAAAGTATCTCAAAATTGACTAATTGACTAATGATGTTATTTATTTTTCAGTAATTTTTCAAAGAAATGATACTTTTTAATTATCTCGGCTAAACTGCATTGTGGATGTGAGTCCTCGCTAATGAAGAAACAATTAAATAAATAATGACAAACAATAAAAATAAATTATACGTTTTTTAGATCTCGATACTTTTTTGATTATGTTTGCTCTTCTTTGCTTTCGTTCATCCCTTATCGGATACTCTTATCGGTATGTACCCTCGGTATGCGATCTGTGACCACTAACTCATTAATACAACTAGTTGAATTGTCACAACCGCCCGAATATAATGTATATTACTTACGTTCTATTACAATAGATAAAATATTATATATTTTATGTATTATCTGTTTTCATGAGATGAAGTTCTCGTGCCTAATGATATAATACAGCCATGTGCATTCGACAATCACTGTAGAGTAATTAACTATCGCAGATTATACTTATTACACTATATTTGTTTACAACAGCGAATGGTTATCAGACACCTATACGTTGTTAAACAAAGTCGCAAACAAAAGGGCTCTACCGAAATAGATTTTAATTCGTTACAGCTTTAAATTATATACATTGGATGATATATGGGTCTGATTCATTCAACCCATATTGATCGTCAACTTTATATTTTCATTTTTTAATGTTATGAATATACTCTCATTTTTCAAACGGTAGTTATATCAATGATATTGATGTAATTGTTAAAGATACTCCAAAAATTGTTTGAACAGAATTTTATGATATTCTATGCGGGGTTAGCTCAAGTTATTTGTCACCCTAGTTAATATTATAAATACTGACTTAAATGTTTTTTTCATTTTTTATATTTTTAAAATAAATGCTTAATTACGTCCGAATGCTTTGCCTGAAAATTTATAACTTATATGCGATTGCTTGTACATATCTAAAGTTTAAATTACTAGGTTGAATGTAGGTTTTTTTCAAACATAAAATTTTTTAATATGCTCAATTTTAGTTTTATAACAATTAAATTTGTTGATTAAATCATGAAAATACGACTCATTAGATAAATAGTATTGGTATAGGTTGTTGTCAATATTATAGCTGTAACCTCGAGACATATACGCAGTCGATGACCTGCAAGTTTTTATGTTGAATGACGTCATGGTTTTCAATGAGCTGAAATGTCACGAGACCAACGTAATGTTCTGGTACACGTAGAGACATCTTTGAGGTGAACTCGGTCCCTAAAACTCTGAAATTGGCCCCTAGATGTCGTCTACAAAGAAAGGGACTGACTAGTTGGAAACGGACGCGGTGGTTCTATTGACGTAGTGTATCCACCCCGCTAGTCATCTTCGAGCAGCTGTTGGATCGATGGGCGGCCTGACCCAACGAAAATAAACATACATGAAAACACAGGGCAGCGTTCGGGTATTTTTTACAGACTGTCAGAGAGCAAATGTGTTAGTTGTGCGTGTATGTTCTCACATTGTTATTTAGTTAAAGCAAATTTAAATATTCGTACAGTAACTTCTTCGAGTCAAAAATGTATTTGTTAAGCTTTTGAAATTACATGTAATTACGTGCAGGCACATTCATAAGAAATTGTTGAGTTGAAAATTAAAATTTTAGAAGAACAATACTGACTGTTTAAAAAGCAATTATTGACCACGAGTACGTGCAAACTAAAGGTATGTTATGGTTTATAAAAATGTACTCATTACTTTTTATTAACCGGGGACAATGGGTATCTGGTTGATGTATTGGGAGGGGTACGAGTAAAACCAGTACTGGTGAGTCGCAAAAAATCTCGTAGTCATTTCACTAGTCGTTTTCAATATTTGCGGGTTCTTTGAGTTTAATAATTTTTTTTAGAAAACGAATACGGTCATATTATAGACTAGTCGTCCCTTATTTTGTGCATTATCGTTTTAGTGTCTTCGCAGCATCCGGTCAACGTTAGTGTAGTTCATTTATTGATTTTGCATGGACAAATATCTAATACATAGATAAAAATTACATGAAGTGTGTATATCATATTGATTTAGGTAATTAGCGGCATGAAGTAAGCCAGAACTCCCTTATGCTATGTATATTATTGTGTAGAAAGTAACATAGGAATATTAATAATGTTGTTTGGCAGCTGTTGTGTATACGTGCACAGTACAACACCATCCATAGAATTCACAAATCCCACCTGCACACTTAACACTATACCGATACTGTCACAATATGCTGTTGGTTTAGGTCCAAAACCAGTGAATATCTTTTTATGCTAACCGGCACGTATAAAACCATCGGGTCGATAATCAGGTGTGTATTTGTCCTGTAAAATATACCTGTTTTGCTTAAACAACTATGAACTAAATATTAAGAACACTTTTCAAATTAATTGTTTGTTATATGCACCAAAGTGTTAAAAACTAGTTTGATGTCACAAAAAACTTTGTGTAATGTTTGATTAGAATTTGAATTTTAAATACCGACTTTATATTCAAAATAAAACTAGTTTATAATAAAATGTTCGTGATCGCCTATATATATTTTACTTAATCTTCTAGTTTTCACTAATACTTATACGTCTACGACTAATGAGTTGCCTATTACAATATTTTCAGGTAACAAAATTAATATATAAACAAATTCTTTTCAGAATATTTAGTTTTGAAGCATTTTTTCCGTCGTTGTGACATCAAGCCATAAAATTATTTTAGCACCTATCGGTCGATAAAAACAAAATTGCGTAGAAATAATTTTTCTATAATAATCAGGTTGCACGCGAACGATAGCTCTCGGGAACCAATAGTCATTCAGTTTTAAAATAAAACAAAGGATATTAAAAATAACACTATTAATTTTCTGATTTAAGTTCATAATATTTCAAAATATGTAATGCGCTGAGTTGATTAACAATAAAATAGAAGTGTTAATTAAAAGAGTAATTTAGTTGCTTAATTTTTTATGTGGATCCGTTATAAAATATAATCGGATGGTTTATTGGAAAAAAGTATCAGTAAAATGGAAAATACTATCATCAATATAATAATATATACTAATATTGTTATTAGTGATAGTTTGTATTTCTCTTTTTTTCCAAGTATAATTCTCTAAGTATAACTATATTTTATCATAAACGTATTGCGATAATAATTTTTGAAGTGAATTATAGCGTAACTAAAGCACAATCTATATACAAATAATAATGTCTTGAATTTCAAAAAGTAAAAACTTTTTCTGAACGGACAATAATCTTGAACAAGTTTTATTACAATGCCAGTTTAGTTAAAATACATTTTGTAATATTTTGGAACAAAAAGTATTGTTATATTAACAAACTTTTGTTGAGAGAATGTACCTACGAAATTTTTACAAGAATTATTCATTAAATAAATTATTTTGTTTTTACAATAACGCCCAGCTCAAATATTTTTACCAAAAAATTACGTTTTTGAGTAAATGAATATCATATGCATGTATAAGAAGCATCAATAAAAGTTATATCCCGTTCTAATAATTATATTTCAATGTGTACAATATTCAACCTAAAAATTATTAATAATAAAATGAGCAAATAACGTATGACACATATGAATCGATGGATACAAGGTCATATTCTCAATTACCCTCACTTATAATAAACTATGTAGGTAATACTGTAAGGCAGATTTTTTTACGTGTAAACTTGTAATGATTTGATTTAAAGGGTGACTTTATTATAAAAGTAATATACTAAAATTTACTTTGTTATTCATTACCAGTCTATTATTAAATGTCTTTTGTTATATTTATTAAATACAACATCTTTTCAATATGTTTTCAAGAATAGAAATTTGATCTTGAATTACGTTCTTTATTTATTTTATCTTTTTTGGAACTAAACCAAAAAAAAAAAAACATAATACTGTTTACTATAAAACTATTTATATCATTATAATAAATACAAAAAAAAGTCAACAACAAACTTTTTTATACAGACTCTAATATTTATTGTACGTACAAGGGTTAGACTGAATGTAAACAAAATAGTTTTAAAATAACAACCATGAAATTTATTGACATAATCAATGGAATAGTGTACCAAATAGCTTCTCAAATTACTTTTTTGCATTTTTTATTTTCTTATTGCTGGAAAATGATGTGTAAAAACTGCCAGGTTAGAATATTTTTATTTAATTTTAATATATTTTTTACCCGAGTAAAAATAAAAAAAAATCTTTCTGACTTATTGTAGAAATTTGATTACTATTACAACTAAGAGATTTTGTTACTTAATATCTTACTTACTTTTCATAATTTAAGGAAAAGTGTAACATTGTATAATATATAGTGTAAAATAATTATTGATTATACGAAAAAACGTTTTTTAATATAAAATTAATAATTGTAAAATTTCATTTAATGAAATTTTAAACAATAGAATACATTGTAACGAATAGAATCACTATCAAAACAAATTAAAAATTATATGTATAATAATATATATTATTATACAGAGTTGAATAGATATAACTGACAACTCCCATAACTTTTGATACAATTAACATTACGTTGTGATTTTTTTTTTATAATTTATTCACTCTTAAACAGTGGTAAAATCATATTTTTGATTATTTGACTGTAATAATTAAAAATATATACATTTATATAATATATGCTTTTTGCTTTATATTTTTTCAAAATTTCAAAGTAATCAATTTCTAAGTACTTTTATACGCTATTATTGAAAAAAAAAATTGATTAATAAGTCGATACCATTTTAGAACAAGTAATTATTGATTTAATGTACTTGAAACAATGACATAATGTAGTCTACACGTTAATGCTTTATCTTCAAATATTAATACAAAAAGCATTTGAATTATATTAAATATTGCTAGGTGGCCGGCATTCCCTGTCTTTCCTAATGCAAAAATAAGGTAAGATAGTGGTTCTCTAGATAACAAAAATACAAGATAATTAAGTTTTTAACCTTTTTTTTTACTTTCTAAAACATTTTGCTTAAACTCTAATCAAAAATAATGATAAAAAATAGACTGATTTGTTATCCTATACAATATTTATATTATAATGAACGTTTTATTTAATTTTAAAAATACAGTGATAATAAAATGAACATTAATATTCCGCTATTTGGTCATGAGTGTACATTTAACGTACTATATTTGGTCTTTTATAGTAATAATACACAAGACACCTTGTGTAAAAGGCATCAAAATAATAAAAAAAAATTATTTTTTAAATAATATCTTTTATGATGTTTAATATTTTTGAAAGAATCATTGTTTTAGTCATTGGTTTTGAATTTACCTCATTCTTTATTGAAATTCCACTTTGATCTCTACTACTCTTGGTACTTCACACACACACACATATATATATATATATATATAAATTTAGGTGTAGTATTGTAATTACTTTTTGTATAATCATCATTATTATTTTTTTATTAAATAACAATGGTTTAATTGTTTATTGTACTATTATTATTACTTAAAAACTTTTTCATTACGATGTTGGCTTTTGCACGTACTCGCACGTACTTACAGTTTTGTTTGCAGCTTTTGGCCTCGCATGACGCAATATGTCTTACCGTTCGCTGGCCGCTGACCGTGTGTACAAAGCGACCACGGACGACCTGCAGCCGGAGCGGAAGAATTCTGTCGGTACTGTATTTAAAAAGGCATTTGGTTCATTAAGCTCAAGCCCCCGGCGCAGGCTGTCCGAACCGCTTATGCAAGGCGTGCCTGTTATAGGAAGTGGCAACGTCAACACACCACTCAGGTACATTAAATTTTAGAATAATTGTATTTATAACTAAAATGTCAAAATTAAACCTATTTGTATAAGTAATTTATAAGAGAAATATAATAGATGATCTCCCTTTCCTTTTTAAAATGATCATTTAATTTCTAAATACAATTGAGAGATTAGAAAATAAGGTGATATCTAAATATTTTTTTTGTTTTTTTAAATGTTTTGAACATTCAATTGTCATAAAAAAATAAAATTATCAATTTAACTTATTTTGTATAATATCAAAATTAATTTCTTCGTCTATTGGTTATTTTTATAACTTCCACGTTTCCTTCAAGTATTCATTGGGTAACATAAAGTTGTTTATATTTTAATTATGAAAACTATACTTTGTTTTTCAATTATTAACTTTATTGGTAAAGATAGAGAAACCTATGCAACAAACTATTACTCAATTACATAATTACAGTTCAATGTAATATCCTAATCTGAATACATTCATTTTTTGAAATTTTATTTTTTAGAAAAATGCCTACGTCTGTAATTTCCGAAGAAGCATCGCTATTGAGGTAAATAAAAATTTAGATAACTTTTTTTGTATTCGGATTAATTGAAAATTTTCTGATTTAGCAGTATGCGGTCGGATACTATGGAAGAAGTGGAACTAACAGGGGTGCGCCCTTCCTTGCCTGCTGTACGGACATTTACCAGAAGTAATACGGGAGTGGAAGAAGTTTATGTAGATACTGACAACGGCCCAGTATGTGTGGCTGTACAAGGAGATAGATCCAGGCCGCCTATACTCACATATCATGATCTTGGATTAAATTGTGAGAAAATAATATTTATTTTTTAAACTCTAAGAAAATGTTTCCTTAATATCTATGATAATTTGAAAGTTATTCAACAAATTTTAAAAATCATTACTGCGATCAGTACATTTTAAATCCAATACTAAATATCTTCGTTAAACATTGTAATACCATTTTTATTTGTTAATCGTAAAGTTTCTCTATTAAGTAGTTTAATTTATATATTTCTAACGTTAAATATAAATCTTCTTTGAATGTTTTTATTCATTAATATTAAGTTAAGTGATAAAATTAAAATCATTGTGCTTATTAAATTACTATTTTTTTAATGCAGTATTGAGTTCACTCATAATAAATTGTTATGCGGGTATTTAATAATACGAGTTCAATTTATCAATCTCTATGAATCATTTTAAGTTCTTGATTTCTATTAACTAAAATAAATTATAACAATACAACATGATATATTTGTATAATTTACTTTAACCCGAAATTTACTAAGAAATTTCAAGATTTTATGTTAATACCGGGTTTGAGAATTCTGTAAAAGTATTCGGAATATTTAAATAAATACTTAATAATATTTAATATAAAAAAAATATATATTAAAATTCACAAATTAACGCGTATACTTAATATATATTTTGCAGATATTACGAGCTTTCAAACATTTTTCAATTACAGTGGAATGCGAAACCTCACATCCAATTTTTGTATTTACCATGTAAATGCACCGGGACAAGAAGAAGGAGCACCTCCACTACCCGACAAGTAAGAAGTTTTCAGTTAATTTAATAAGTCTTAAAATGAAATTATTCAAATACATTTATCATAATAATCATACTTTATTTGAATTAAAATTAAAATAAAAAACGTATTTATAACAAATGAAATGATTATTATTCTATTTTACTGATTTTAAAATGATTCATAAAAATTTATATTAAAAAATGCTACGAAATATATGAGTTTTGAGATTACTATTAATACAAATATTTTAGTTATGTATATCCTACAATGGACGAATTGGCGAATCAATTGGATAATGTGTTAAAATATTTTGATTTAAAATCTGTTGTTGGACTTGGAGTTGGTACCGGTGGAAATATTTTAGCTAGATTTGCTTTTAAACAGCCACTTAAGGTATAGTAGTTCTCAGTTTTACCTAATGGAAAATTAACGAATGGGTTTGAACAATTTTTTTTACGTACAGATCGAAGCTCTAGTTCTTGTTAACGTCGTGTCTACCTCGGCAGGTTGGATAGAATACGGATACCAAAAATTAAATGCTAGATACTTGAAATCTAAAGGAATGACTCAAGGTGTTTTAGATTATCTAATGTGGTACCATTTTGGAAAAGTAGGTTTAATTCAATGTTTTTTATGTGTGCAATCGATGTCGATGAAGATGACAACTATTCTTTATTTTTTTTAAGGGCACGGAAATGAGAAACCACGATCTCGCTCGAGTTTATAGAGAATACTTTGTACACAGTGTTCATCCTGGAAATTTGGCCGCTTTTATTGATTCATATGTGAGACGGACTGATTTGGGCATAAGTAGAAGTACCCCAACATCGGAATCAAGTTCAGCCGGTCGAAGACCCAGTATGACTACCACACTTCAAATGCCTATTATTAACGTTTGTGGTGCTTTGTCTCCACATCAAGAGGATACTGTAACACTTAATTCCAAACTAGATCCAACAAAATCGTCATGGATGAAAGTAAGTTGATAATTGTATATTTGAAATTCGTCTTTGTGTCTAATATTTTGCTCAAAAAATGAAGAAGAATATAATTATTTATATCGTTTCTAATTATTAGTAAAATATTTTCGGAAATAATGCTGAATGAAAATTGTATAAGGATACACATAGTATTAACTTTTAATGTTTATTTGAATACCATTCAAACAATTAATAGTTTTAAAGTTCTAATTTTTACGAGTTTTAACATATGTTGCAATGCTAGAAAGATACTGGTTAATAATATCCAGTATAGTTCATACAAGAGATTCACTTATCAAATTATGTTATTTTTGTAGCGTTATGAAATAATTCTACAGAGTAAATTTTATTTTTATTTTTTCTATTCGAAAGTTGTAATTTCATCAATTTTTGTTTTTTTAAATAGAAATATATGTAATATAAATTGTAAATAATTTACAAATTAAAAAATAATCTTTCTAAGAAAATGACTGGTCGATAATACCTTTTCGGCCAGTATTTTGGAAGTTATTAACTAATTAATATAATGATAGGAAGTGAAGCACAGGCCTATTTATTTTTATCTAAAGGCATGAATTAAGCGCACTATTTCTCCCTCTTTGTTTTAAAAATGCTATTATGTTTTAAAATAGTAGTCTAATAGTTGTTATCGACCAGTCATTTTCTTAGATAGATTATTTTCTATTTTGTAACTTGGTTTAACATTTAGATTTCCATAATTTTGGGTATACTTGTAAAACGGGGATTACTTTTTTTTTAAATTTCGGTTTTAAGCACCCCTTTTCCATTATTTGCGGTAATTATATAATTATATCATAATTTAATTTATTTTCATATATCATACAAAATTCATGAAATATTTTATCTGTATAAAGCGGCTGTGCTCCTTAAAAAATATTTATTGAAGCCCCTTTGAATATTCCACCATCAATTTGTATAATTGTGATCTCATGATTTCGCTTGATTGTTACACATCTCCAATCATAATATAAATATACAGCATTCACAATTATCTATAGGCGGCAAATAATCTTTACAGCTTCTAAAAGAGTGACCGACCATCTTTTGTTTTTCGAAAGATTGAGGAATGGTTTGATAAAAATATTAATCGCATTTTAAAATAATATATTTATTTATTTACCCTATTAATTTACTTTAAGTATACAAATGACTAGCCCATTGAATATTTGTCCAATGCTCATTTTTGGATCTTCATTTTTTCTATTTATTATTTTAGGAAATTTTAAAATTAAAAAAAAATGTATGTCTATTATCTATAACACGAAAATAAATCAATAAAAAAAATTTAGTTTACGGATTTTATATAATTATAAAAAATGTCAACCAAAATTCTTGTTGAAAAAATATATATCGTATCTCGGAATAGTCTTAAATAGTCTACAATCACATAGAAATTATAGATCATCACTCTTCAAAAAATGTTTTCCATCTAAGGTGACAATACCAGTAAATGACCACTATCAGTGAAAGAACGCCACTGAGTTTTTTTACTAAAAATATTTAAATGATTGTTATAATTTAATGTTAGTAGTTTATATAAAAAAGAAAATATCTAAATTTAGCAATATTTTAACATCACTATTTTTAATATATCATTATATGTTCGTGTACTAGAAAATTCTAATTTTTAATATAATATTATAAATTGAAATTGTTGTGTTAGGTAATTATAAATATTTTTACATTATTATGAGTGTGATATTAAAATATTAATTAATAGAGAACTTTAAAGTATGAAAAACTCTTAACTGTTCTTTCACTAGTAATAAAGTCATTCTATATTTTATTCTCAGATATTTATTAAGCTATTGATTAAAATTACATTGCCAAATGTTTTTTTTTTTAAATAATTATCATAATTTAAAAACTTATATTATTATTTTTTTAAGAATCTTATATAGAATAAAAATTTTGTTTTATTTATTATTATTTTATTTTTATAGATTTCGGAGTGTAGTATGGTGTTAGAAGAAGTACCTCATAAAATGTGTGAGGTACTCAGACTTTTTTTACAAGGACTCGGTTACGGTAAGCCAATCCAGTCTTCGTGCACAATTAAAAACTAAATTAAAGTTTTCCTTTTTGTCTAATGCTTCAAAAACGCTAGTATAAACAAAAATGTCGAAGTCCATTATTTAAAGGATTGTAGTTATAACCAATTGATATATTTGTAATTAATTATTTTTAGTAACCATGTGTGGTTTTATTATCAAAAACACAAAGATATTAAAGGTTTAGGTGTTTTAGGAAATTTTTTTGTTAATTTAAAGTTAGAAATTTCTGATTTATATTGGATATAAAATTTCGTTAGATTTTATAAATTTGTAAAATGCTTTTTTTTTTTTATTTTTATGTGTTATAATAAATGAAACTTATAAATAAAATAATATAAATTAATAATTATTGAGTTAACTTTTTAATGGGATCTAGTAAAATTTTTTAAAAAATTCTATACAATTTAAAAATTAAATTCACAAAAGCGTAGCTTTTACGTATTGATAAAATATATTTTAGTTTTAAAATTTTAAAGTCAAATTCAATAATTAGTGTGTACAGCATAACAAGAGTACCAAAAAATTTTACTTCATCGAGTGTCAAAATATGTCTTCAGATACAAAACAAATTTTATATTTACCAATGATTTTTCATTATAAAGTTATTTTATGTATGTATTGTAAATAATTTCAATTTTGTCTTTCCAATGCTAATTAAGGTACATACATCCTAAATAATATTATGACTTAACTTAGTAAACCATTTTCTGATCATTAATTTTTTGATCCTTATGTGTTAAATTTTATTTGTTTATACATAATATATATATATATATAGATTAAAACGTATGAGTTTTTAAATTTTAGCGCAAATCCAATTTGTGTCACGTAAAATGAATAAAAAAATGTGTTTTTTCTTGAGATTAGATCTACGACAATTAAAATAGCGGTTTTTGAGCTTCACTATTCTTACTTAATGTGATTCAGAATTTAAAATATTTTTAAATACAATTTTTTATTTCAAGAATGTAAAATTAATTTTTATATAGCATTTTAATCAATGAAATAGTAATTTTTTTTTAATTAAAAAAAAATGTCCGTTTTCCATTAAATATTAATTGTAATAAAAAAAACTAGATATACTGTGTATAAGAATTGATTTATATATAAAAAAAAATGTGACCCAGTGGCGGATTTTCTACATTTTCCCAGGATTCCTAAAGAATAAATTTTACTTAAGATACACAACAGATTCTTACTCCACATATTGAATAATGTAAAGATATTGTTGTCTGTGATGGTTCAAGAGTCTAGACACCTTCCTAAATCCGCCACTAATTTAATATCTTCATTTTAGATTATAAATTTATTATCTTCTAAAAAATGCTATAGAGAATTAATATTAATATTAGAAAGGGAATGAAATATTTTCAATATTTTTACTTTTAGTTTTGTTCAACGTAGGCTTTAAATTGATTTTTTAACAGAATTTGGTGAATTAATCATTAATGTTATACTTAAATGAATTTATGAAACCAGTTTTATAAATAAAACGATTGTAATCAAAAACTAACAGGCTTATAAAAAGTGTTGAAAATCTAGTGTAAAACTAATAATAGTAGTAAATGAGTTACAAATGTGATGTTTAATTCAAATAATATATGGAACATAACTCTCAAGCTTTCTTACACGCATGTTAAACCCAGTGTTTACTTTAATATAATTTATTAAGTGCATAAAAGTGCATTTACATTTTTGGAGATTTTGAAAATTTCCTAATAATTTCAACAAAAATTATTTATTTATAATTAAAATAGAAATAACGAAAAATACTTATTTGATTTTATTTTTGTCTCGAACATGTTTGTGAAATGGATTGTTTATGTTGATCAGCTGTGAGACTAGGCCGACCGCCCTTGACGGTGTCCAGATCAGCTGAAGGTAAAAATGATGACGTATTAGCTAATACATTTAGCGCACGGATGCACGACTAGTTAGCGCACGCACACACATAAACACAAACCTTTTCTCCTATGAGTCAAAAATACCTACATGACAACTAAAAAATAAATAGTGATCACCTTCGAAAACACAAAATTTGTACATGTAAGTGCTATGAAATTTATAAAAAAAATTTATTTCTGTTGTGAATTAGGACTTCCACTTGTGGGAGACACCGGTCGTCCACAAAACAATTTTAGTTTTGCTATAAAGTTACAAAAATTATAAAAATATGTGTACTTTTTTTTGTCGTCTAGTGTCTCCTTTTAATTTCTTCTGGTGGTCGCATTATTGTGTGATTTAAATATTTCATTTGTTATGTTAATTATTGCGCTTTTTAGTGGTTTTGTTAGTATATTTATTATTTGTATTAAGATGTCAATAAGAAATATTTTCCTTTGTAAGAAAAAGTTCTTCATTGGGATATTTTAATTTGAGTTTGCAAGATTTTAAACATAAAATTTTCTAAGAAATATTCTTAAAATTACATAAATTTTTAATGTTTTTTAAATTAATTCAGTTAATATAATAATTTAATCTTTAGAATGTTTATTCCTTAAAATGAATCACCGTTAGTATTTGTCCTGTAATCTATTCCATTAAATCGAACTGAGTTGTTTACATCCAATAACTATGCATAAGATATTTGTAGTTATCATTAAAATTTTTAATAGTTTTTAAATGCTTAATAAAAGTATAAGATGTGTTTTTTATATTGTAATGTAATTGCTTGGTTTTGGTGAACATTGTTTTTTGTGTTAATAAAACTTAATAATGCATGATTAAGATTAAATAAGGTTATATGTAAATTTAATTTTTATATTAAAAATGACTTGAAATTCAATAATTAATAGTAATTGTATAAATAATTATAATTTATAAATTACTATAATATTATTTTATTTGGTTTCAATAAAAAACATACATTGTTATATTATAAGAGTTAATTACTTGTAGGTAATATTATTATAATACATTTGTTTAATATATATTTATAATATATAGTAAAAATGTATTTGAATATTAATCAAAAAAATATTAAAGAAATTTAACTCAAAAAGTCATAAAAAATACTAAAAAATTGAGTATACGTATTTCAGGAATAACGTTATATTAATTAAATAAAAACAACCATACAAATTAACTTCTTTCCCTTTCGATTTTTCAAAATATTATTTGTGTGCATTAAAGTGACACAAATGTGTCATTGGTTGATTTGTAAATTTTTATAGCTTTTACTTTCTTAAAAATTTGATTAATATACTATTAACGCAAAATAATAAATCATTCAACATACGGTTTATAAATGTCGTTTATGTAAGTTATTAATATAACATTTGAACTATATTACTTGTGTGATGTGAAGTACAGTTTATGTGTATTTATATATAATGGTTTAAAATAAAAAACGAATTTTCTTTCAGTGATATTAAAATCCATAAAGCAGTCAGATTCCAAAGATAGTGTTCGCAGTTCACCTTGGCCATTTAGAATCACCGAAAATCCGTTAACAGCATAATATTATGCTAACGCAAGAAAAGTGGTTGGTGCTACAGTAACAGTTCTACAATAATTAGATATATTCGTTAATTTTTAAGAATAAAGTGATAATATTTGTACTCAATCTGGTTTTTGCGAGGAGTATTAAAATATTATTGGTTTTGTAAACGGATTGTGCCTCCTTTTTTTTTTTAGTTATGTGTCGATTGTTGGCCCCATAAGGCAAAGGTTGATTATACATTATTATTATTTATATTTTAGGAATCATTTTTTTTAATTATTATTTTAGGAGTTCATCCTATAAATTAGAATAATAATTTTTAATAGATAGATAAGAGTCATATCAATAAAATTTCATTCAGTGTTTGCTGTACAAACTTATGGGAATTTAGTGTAACTATAATGATTTGCCTAAAAGAGTTAGATAAAATAGACTGCACGAAGCACTTGCGCTTAAGATTTTTTTTTATGTATGTTGTTAACTATTGATGTTAATAGATTATTAAGTGTTGCTGTTATTTAATCTGATATTGTATACATATTATGGACGTTAACGTTCTGTAATATAAAATGGAATGTGATAAGTAATAACAATAAAATTAATTATACGTATTTGTAATATTAATTGTTTTATGTAATAATGATAGTAAAATTTTGTCAATCCATATTAGAAAAAATGAGGAATAATAAACTGTTCATATTATATTGCACGAATTAAAAATAAAGGATCCTTTATTTTCTATTCTTCAAGGGATGCCATGTAAAGGATATGTCATCCAGGTCCAGGTGACTGTCCGAGTTGGCCTTTTAAAATAGTGTGCCTAAACAATTTTTGTCCTTTTATTTAATTTACAAAAACAAATTCAAGTGATTAGATTTTTAGTTTTGATGCGAATGTGAGAAGGTATTAATTTTATTTTACTATGATGTTTTTTTGTCTGTCTCCACTTTTTCTTAGTACCTACTTAATGAATTTTGTACAACGATACGTTAAAATACCTTCGATTACAGTAAATGAGGTAAATAATACAAAAAATAAGATTATTGAATTGGCAAATGTCAATATTTTTTCTACAAATATTTGAAGACTGGAAATTGATCTACTGTTTATGTAACGGACAACATCACAGAAACTTGTTTGTATCCATATTGTTTATTATACAATTTGCAACATACAACAAAGATATTTTAATATAAAATTATTGGAGTTATGATAAATATAAGTTTATTTAATAAAATAATGTTACAAAGAAAAAAAAAATTAAAATAAAGTAAAAAAAAAAGTATAATGATATCTGACAGTGATTAAAATCACTATAAAAAAAACGCTTCGATGCAAATCTTTAGATACTGTTTAATTTTAAAAAATTGGTGGACTATTCCAAAAGCTACATGATCTGCTAGTTCATTATTAATATCCTAATTAAGATAAAGTATGTAGAATGAAAAAGGGATTATTAAAAAATATTATTTCTCATAAAAAAATAATGTTGATCAATACACTTTTCAATAAGTTATAGCATTATAAAGTTAAAAATGTAAAAAATAAAATTGAGAATTTTCACACAATACTAGCATTTGGTAGCCATTTTCACCGTGAAGACAAAATAAAGTCCGACATTTTTTTTTTACGTAATAAAGTAGATTACATTAGCTTTAATTTAATATATATATAAAAGTGTCAGACTTTCCTGAACACTTTCAAAATTTAAGTTGAAAAAGTCAATTTTTTGTGAAAAATTTGTCATTTTGAATCCCCCCCTGTGGGCAGGTAAAAAGTCAGCTTTATAAAAAAAATATACCAAATGATAGGTAAAGACATCATGCATCTACAAAAAAAAGATTATATTGATCCATACATCTTTCAAAAAGTTATAGCATTATAAAGTTAAAAATATAAAAAAGAATTTTTTTACAAAAATCGTATTTTTTTTATTAAGTTTAATGTCTGTTTTCACCATGAAGATAAAATAAAGTCCGAAATTTTTTTTTTCCATGATAAAGTATATTACATTAGCTTTAATTTAAGATATATATAAAAGTGTCAGACCTTCCGGAACATTTTCAAAAGTTAAGTTGAAAAAGTTAATTTTTTTTGAAAAAGTTGTCATTTTAAATCCCCCCTTGTGGGCAGGTTAAGGGTTAAATTTATGAAAAAAATATACCAAACGAAAGGTAGTGATATTACACATCTATATAAAAAAGAATTATATTGATATGTTCATTTTTGAAAAAGTTATGGCACTTTTAAGTAAAAAAAATTGAAAAAATTTCGAAAATTAGCGATTTTTAAATTTGTAATTTTTTTGGAGGTTTCCCCCATTTACGGGGAACGAGGGCATTTTTTTCAATTTTTGAGGGTAATGTCTTCGACTAGATACAATTTGTGATCTTTTGACGTATCATTGAAAGAAATTGGTTCGGTGAGAGCTGAGAAAAAGTGGTAAAAAAAAAATAAACACATCTTAGTAAAACCAATACCTTCTCAGCTTCGCATCGAAGCTAAAACGGTAGCACAGTGGGGTTGCGCTACAGTATGGACGTGGCATAGTTGGGACAAGTATAGATGATATCTGACAGTGTTTAAATCACTATTATAAGAAACGCTTCGATGCAAATCTGTAGGTGATGTTTAATTTTAAGAAATTGGTAGATTATTTCAAAAGTAACAATAAATCTTATTTCCCTAATTTTATCCCAATTAGTTCTTTGATTTATAATTATAATATTCGAATAAATAATAATTATAGTAGTTATATTTAGTATGAAATTAAATTTAAATAATTTAATATTGTAATTTTTATGAAGATATTATAAAAATTTAAAGGGCTTGATGCAATACTTTTAAATAAAAAATGTTTGTTACTTATAATAAAGTTTTATACACTAGAAACAAAAATATACTTTTCTAAATCATCTTGCGCGATGTTTTCAAATGTGGAATTAGACCTTTTCTATCACTTCAAAGTTTTAATATTATTAAAAAATAGGTAATTACATATAAAAAAGAATAATTAAGAACACAAAAAAATTGTTTTAAATTAATATTGATTTTGATTAATAATAAAAATATTTTTGTGTAATTTTATAATAAAAAATATTAATTTACTACCATAACTTTTAGCTCAATTTATAAGTTTGAAATTGAATTCATTAAATAGAAAATTTTATGAGAATTAAAAAAATTGTCTAGTTAAAATTAATATGCAGTCAGCAAATTTTAAAATTACTATTTACAGTATATGTATCAGAAAAGCTCAATATTTTTTTGCATTTTTATCGTAATAGATAACTTAAATAGAAATAATAGTAATCATTTCAGAGTAACTTTTGGTGTTTAAAAAGATTCTACAGTTGAAAAATGAACTGAATTAATTTTAATGATTTACTTTAGCTAAAATAACTAATAAATAAAAAAGTTGTTAAAAAGATCTAAAAATCCATTGTTAATTTAGGAGAAACTAACAATCATTTATTTTAGAAATGATTTATATAGCAACATGTCACAAAAAATTTGGAATATTATAGTCTAGTAGTAGCACACACAAATAGAGTAAAAAAATTATTAAATTACAAAGTAAAATTATTAAATTTTGTAATTGAAACCTATCATATCGAACTTTGAAAACATTATAAATGAATGATTTTAATTGTCTGTATGGATAACATGGGACAAGTAACTGTTTAATTGATAAATTATAATTTTTTTAAAATTTTTGAGGGTAATACCTTCAACGAGATACGAATTGTAATCATTTGACGTATCGTTGAAAAAAGTAGGTCAAGTTAGAGCAGAGAAAATAAATGATAGTCACAAAAAAATACCTTTTCAGCTTTGCATCGAAGCTAAAACCTAAAATATATTAAATAATTTTAATATGAATAAGAAATATCTTCTCACGAGGGGCAATTAAATTGAAGTTATTGAATCTAAATGAGATAAAAATCAAAGGAGTTGAACATTTATTCTAACTTAAAAAGAATTAAGAAAAAAGTTCCTTGCCATACGCTGATTGAAACCTTATACCCCAAGCGCATAAGACACAAGTGTTACCGACTCGGTAACCGTATGACGATTCTGCTAATTGAAAAAAATTGCAATTTATGCTAGTTCAAATTTCAAAGTTATTTTTCTCGACTTAAAAAAAGCAAAAAAATTAAAATAAGTGTAACATTCTATGCTATATCAAATTGATTTATATAATATTTATGAAAATCAGTGTACTCCCCCTTATTTTAAAATAAAATAAAATACAAAACCCAGAATTTTAACATAAAAATATATTATTTTTGAATAGAATACATGAAGACGAATCCAGAGGTAAAAATTTTTTTTTCAAAATAAAGTATATTACACATGCTTTAATTTAAGATATGTATAAAAGTGTCAGTATTTCCGAAACACTTTTAAAACTTAAGTTAAAATAGTTGTTCTTTCTATACGTATTTTTAAAGTTTTGACTCTCCTTGTATAAAGGGATATAATTTGATCTAAAAAACAAGTGTGTCAGATGAAAGGGGTATATAAAAATTATTTATAAAAAAATAATAATATTGATCCATACATTTTTCCAAAAGTTATAGCTATGTAAATTTAAAAATATAAAATCGAGAATTTTTCATGGAAATCGTACATTTTTCTTTAACTTTAAAATGCATNATGTAAATTTAAAAATATAAAATCGAGAATTTTTCATGGAAATCGTACATTTTTCTTTAACTTTAAAATGCATAAAACGACAATACCTTATTTTATCATATCTGCCTTGGATATTTGCCTATTTATGTTTGATTCATATAAAGCGTGATCAAAATGTAAGGAAACAAGTTAATTGTTACAAATAATGAGAACAGTAGTAATCCGTTTCCTTACTGAACACACTTTATGTGACCAATCATGTTTTTGAAGTGAAACTTCTTTACAATGGAACAATAGAATTTGGACGTTTAACTAAGTATTCTGTTTTATTAAATAATTAAATTATAATATAAAAAAAGTTATAGTACTTATATTATTATTTATATTAACACGTTGATGGACAAAATCATATAATACTGTTATAGCAGTAATATTAAAATTTGACTATTCTAAAAACAATTCTAAAAATGTCATTACTGATATAGCAGTAATATTTTCAATGATTTCTTTTGAAGGAGGAAGTTGTTCTGACCCCATGCATCTCATAAAACCAGTGTTTGTAAAATACCATGTCATTAACTGTCCATCAATGTGTTAATCATTTTTTCTTATTTATTTTTATCAATAAGTAATCAGATTGTTAGAAATAAATAATAAAAATAATAATTTAATATATTATGTTCTATATAAATAAATATAGAAAAATAGTTATTATATATATATATTTATTTATTCTTAATTATTTTCATAAGTAAATAAGTAATAATCATTATTTTTATAAGCATGTATATTTAATTATATTTATAGGTATTACATTTATTCATATAAATAAAAGTTATAGCTTTGATTTTAAAAAATAATAATATATATTGATGTAAATAAAAATTATGTATGTATATATACTTTATTAAAAAAAATTAAATTAATGTTTTTTAAAATGCGTTAAGTAACTTAATTTTAAATAATTTTGATTGAGTATAAAAAATTTAAAAACCACAATAGTTAGGGGAGACTGGGGGAACTATGGTCAGTAGGTAACACCAGTCACCTCATTATCAAATAAAACCCATGGATCTAAAATTATGTTGATCATACGTATAGATTAAGAATGATAACAAAATCTTAATCGTATAAGAACAATATTATCAAAAAACCCAGCACAGGGGGGTCGCGGCACAGTGGTGACGTGGCATAGTTGGATCAAGTATAATGATATCTGACAGTGATTAAAATCACTATCAAAAAAAAACGCTTCGATGCAAATCTTTAGATAGTGTTTAATTTTAAAAAATTGGTGGATTATTCCAAAAGCTTCATAAACTGCTAGTTCCTTATTAATATCCTGATTAAGACAAAGTATGTAGAATAAAAAAGAGATTATTAGAAAATAGTATTTCCCATAAAAAAATTATATTGATCAATACACTTTTCAATAAGTTATAGCATTATAATGTTAAAAATGTAAAAAATAAAATTGAGAATTTTCACACAATAATAGCATTTGGTAGCCATTTTCACCTTGAAGATAAAATAAAGTCCGAAATTTTTTTTTTCCATGATAAAGTATATTACATTAGCTTTAATTTAAGATATATATAAAAGTGTCAGACTTTCCGGAACACTTTCAAAATTTAAGTTGAAAAAGTCAATTTTTTGTGAAAAAGTTGTCATTTTGAATCCCCCCCTGTAGGCAGGTAAAAAGTCAGATTTATAAAAAAAATATACCAAATGATAGGTAAAGACATCATGCATCTACAAAAAAAAGAATTATATTGATCCATACATCTTTCGAGAAGTTATAGCATTATAAAGTTAAAAATATAAAAAAGAATTTTTTTACAAAAATCGTATTTTTTTTATTAAGTTTAATGTCTGTTTTCACCATGAAGATAAAATAAAGTCCGAAATTTTTTTTTACCATTATAAAGTATATTACATTAGCTTTAATTTAAGATATATATAAAAGTGTCAGACCTTCCGGAACACTTTCAAAAGTTACGTTGAAAAAGTTCTACTTTCTATATGCATTTTTATGTTTTGAATCCCCCCTGTATTTAGGGAAATGGTCCGATTTAAAAAAACAGTATGTCGAATGAAAGATCTATATAAATACTACTTCTCATAAAAAAATTGTAATGATTCATACATTTTTCAAAAAGTTATAGCATAATAAAGTTAAAAATGGAAAATACAAAATCGAAAATTTTCACACAAAAATAGCATTCGGTAGCCATTTTCACCATGAAGATAAGATAAAGTCCGAAATTTTTTTTTTTCATGATAAAGCATATTACATTAGCTTTAATTTAAGATATATATAAAAGTGTCAGACCTTCCGGAACATTTTCAAAATTTAAGTTAAAAAAATTAATTTTTTGTGAAAAAGTTGTCATTTTAAATCCCCCCTTGTGGGCAGGTTAAGGGTTAAATTTATGAAAAAAATATACCAAATGAAAGGTAATGATATTATGCATCTATATAAAAAAGAATTATATTGATATGTTCATTTTTGAAAAAGTTATGGCACTTTTAAGTAAAAAAAATTGAAAAAATTTCGAAAATTAGCGATTTTTAAATTTGTAATTTTTTTGGAGGTTTCCCCCTTTTACGGGGAACGAGGGAATTTTTTTCAATTTTTAAGGGTAATGTCTTCGACTAGATACGATTTGTGATCTTTTGACGTATCATTGAAAGAAATCGGTTCGGTGAGAGCTGAGAAAAAGTGGTAACAGACACAAAAAAAAAAAAAAAAAAAACACATCTTAGTAAAACCAATACCTTCTCAGCTTCGCATCGAAGCTAAAAACATTTTCACGTTTAAATGTGTGAATGAAAATTATTAACATTTGAACAAGCATTTGTAATTGACATAAAAAAAAAATTAGTAGTATAATTCAGATTATTAAAAGAAATTATAGAAACATTGTCTAAAACATGTTGAATTTTTAATTAAATAAGTTCACATATTATAAATTGACACGTGAATAATAGTGAGTAAGTGCATTTTTTATCAAATCTCCTAACAAGGAATATCCTATAATAAAATGATTACAATGATAGAATCACGCAAATTAATAATTGTTATCACTTTTAGCTTGGCTAACCATGGAACACACGTAGTTGACATACGATAATGTTTCTAACTTTTTTAATAAATATTAGAGATAATAATTTCTGTACAAAGCGCGTTAAACGTTATTATTATCCATGGAAAAGAAATCTGTTACCAGTAAATAATGTAATAAGTATTTACTTCTGTACTCAGTGTTGCCAGACCAAAAAAAAACTTAATTCTCTCTCAAACTTGTAAAATTTCCCGGTTTTTAAAAAAATTTCCCTCCTTAAATTTTTTATTTCAAATAAATGTATATTCAATTTTCTTTTATAACTTGTATATTGACTATTGTAAGTTGACCATTATAATATGAAATCCTTAAATAATATTGGTTTTATCAATTGTTATTCCCATAATTAATAATATTTAAAAACAAAATATGTTATAGAATTCATAAACACATCGTTTCAAAATACATTTTTCAAATAAATCGCTACTTTTTGCATATTATACCATTGTAGCCTCTTTGAATGTAAATATTCAAAGTAATAAAAATTTAAAAATAGTTAGATTGAAGACTACAGTCCTCCCTCCTTTCAATTATATAAAATAAGGAATATTATTGTTTTTATTTACCTGGCAAGCAGAACAACGAGCTTTGAAAATATTTTTAGGAATACATTCTAACCATCCCTTAAATTCAGAGCAATTAATGTTCATAATTGTTTGAACGGTTGTAGATAGGATCCAAGGACCGATTGTGATATTCTTAGATAGTATTATCAATAGGATTTGTTAACATAAAAATTAATTTATCTATGCAAAAATAAAAATTGATCATTTTTTTGTGAAAAAATAACATGTATACTTTTAAATAATTTTTTTTATAAAAGTAAAAATATCGATTAATAACTGAAATTCCTAAGTTTCCCTTTTTTAGTACAATTTTAAAATTTCTTCCCTTTTTCCCTCAAATTGATTACGGTCCCATATTTTCCCTCTAAACGGGAAATTTCCCTCTATCTGGCAACACTGTCTGTACTTTACATAATATGGACTGACGTTTGATACCACAGGAAAATAGTATAAAAAATCAAAATTTAACAAACTTCAAAATGCTGTATAAACGTAACTACTGAATTAAAATAAGAGTTTTTGGTATCAACATTTTTCTTAATTTAAAAAAAAAATTAATTTTTAAAATATTTTTTTGTAATTGCGAAAAATAACAAAACATATTTTAAATATAGAACTATATTGTAAAAATTGATTAAAAAAAAAAGTATAAAATGTTATGTAGATCATAAGTTATATGAATTGTAAGTTAGATCCGTTCCACTCTGTATATATATATATATAAGATTATGTTTTAAATATCTGAGACTTTAACATAATGCAGTCAAAATGTTAATGTGTCCATTTGTTGTAATAGCATAACATTTAGAGTCTTAGAACCAGAGATAAAACAATTTTTGTTAAGGTAACAATTTTTTTTACGATTTCTTCATAACGTTTAATCAAAAACTTATATTAGTTATTTCAGTTATTATAAACCCATTTTATCTTTCGCGACAATAGAATAAGAAAATTAATAATATAATAGTAAATTAAACTAATTCAAATTGAAAATAAAATTTCTAAGTGCATTTATTATTTTATGCCAATATAAATCTTATATTCTGCCAGGTGCGTGCCTATTTTTAACGTTCATAGTCGCGTGGGGGTCTATCAGACCCCCTTTCTAAAAAAGTATAAAATATGTATAAAGAAGTTCATTTTTTTAAATTCAAAGACATTATTTGTTACCATATGATATATAAATATGGATAAAAATTCAATTATTAAAATTAAAAAATAAATAAATTACAAAATTATGTGCATTACTAAAAATTACATTACGAGAAAAAAAAAACTTAATTTTCATATTTCATTAAAAAATTTTGGATTGTAAAAAAATTATTTTAACTGCAAAATCTTATTTTTAAAACGGTAAACAAAAGCTTTTACTATTACAAAATGTATTTTAATTAATTTTTCTTGTATTTCTTTGAGCTCAAACACGGCTAAATGTATTTACATTTATATAATCATTTTTTTGAATTGAATTTTTTTATTATTAATATTACAATACATCTAATTATTATGATACGAGTATATACAATTATTCGTTCGTAGTAGCACATCGATTTCCGATAATCAATGTGTCCACATTGCGATGCGATGTATTTATAACATGTTTTGTTCTTATTTATTTCATATCATCGAGTAGTGAAAATTCTAAATAGATTATTGATTTTTAAAACTTAATCGCAGAGTCTGTGGCAGATTCACATAATTTCAATTCCACAATATTATATCGATTATAACATTGCATTTACGATAAAATTATATTTTGAAAAAAATACAAGTCCAAAAAAAAATTATAACTTTACAAGTCGCGTGGGGGTAAATAAGACCCATTTCAATTTTGATGGATATTTTAAGTCATACATTTTTTTTCGAAGGTATTTATTTATGAAAATCGATTCAATATTACTATAAAAACCATCTTCTAAATTTATATTTATGTACACCTTTTATGCAATATAATACATCCATTTTTATTTATGTGGGGATATGCTAGACCCCCACGCGACTGTTTAAGGGTTAAGAAACACTTAATAAATCATAATTATTCTCAATGATATTTTATATCTATCAATATTGACAGTTTATTTATGTATAATTACACAGATTTTTTTTTTTTAATGTATCATGAATTTATCTTCCAAGTATTCTTGATAAAATGTGCAGCTCTTTCAGCGATCATGATTGTAGGAGCTATTGGGTTGCAGTTCGGTTGAATTGGCTTAATTGATGCATCAGCTACACGAATTCCTTTAATTTTATGAATTCTCAATTCATCGTCAACTACAGCATTACAATCTGAAGGTGGTCCCATTTTACACGTGCCTGAGTGATGATTTTCACCACTCGTATAGTACTTAATATAACATCTCCAGTACTCTTCAGTATCAAAATTGAAGTTCATACATTCTTTTACCGGCGTTTCATCCAATTTAGCTCCTAATTTTTGCATAGCTTCAGTATTTATGATTTTTTTAATTAGTTTTATACCCGAAAGTAATACTTTAAAATCAGTATCAAATGCTAAATAATTGGGATTGATTAAAGGTCTGACAAATGGATTTGAACTAACAAGTTTTATAGAGCCTGTACTACGTGGTAGTATATTAACCACTCTAATGTCAAAATTCTCAATGCCAATAGGTTTTGAGCAACCATAATGCACTTGTGCATTTTCGCAGTTAGGTGAATAACCATCAAAAAATAACTGTATATCAGGGGGTTGATTGGCATTTGACTGATCAGATCTCAAAAATGCCGATGCTTGTAAGGCACCAGTTTGTGATATTGGACCAGTTCTATGATTTAAATACTCAATAATAGATTCATATGTAAATAAAAGGTTGTTTGTCATATTCATTTTTATATTTAAAGCTACAGAAACATGATGTTGAAGGTGGTACCCAACTTTAAGGTTTTCAACTACGGGTATTCCTAAATATTCTAGATCATATTTTGGACCAATTCCCGATAACATTAATAAATGCGGAGAACCTATTACTCCTGCGGATAGAATAACTTCTTTCTTGGCAATCAATTTGTGTGTTTTGTTAGTTTTGTCAATATATTCAACACCATAAACTGTTTTATTAACTGGATTGATTAAAAGTTTAGTCACGAATCTGTTAATTTTAATTTTTAAGTTTTTACGGTTTAGGTGAGGTCTTAGAAATGCTGTGGGTATGGTTACTCTTGTATTATTTTTCATCATAATTTGAGCGAAAGAAAATCCAAAAGCTTCTGGATCACTCATGTCTATTCGTGAGTAACCCAATTCTTCACCAGCTTCAAGTATTATTTCTGTCACAGGATTCATAAATGTAGGATGCATTACAGGTAACGGACCGTTTTGTCCATGATATTTTAAGTATTTATCCTGTCTAAAGTTTAGATTATTTTCGGACATCATAAAAAATGGTAATACATCTTCAAATCCCCATTTTCTATTTCCTGCTTTTAACCAATTATCATAGATTTGGCGATGTCCTCTTGAGTACATCGAACCTAAAGACATTTTATTAATTGGTGAAGAAACTATTATTATAATTGTGTTGTAATTGTTAAATTTCTATTTAAGCTTTAAGTTAATATATTTTCTTTAAGCAATAATAGAATTGTAACATTTATTTACCTGAGAGAGCACCTGTCCCACCTAAAAGTTTTCCTCTAGGCCAAGCACATACACCTTTGGTAATTAAACAAGCGTTTTTTTGTGGCTCTGTTACATATTGCCAATCGTACTTAGTACCTAGAGCAGAAAATACTAATGCGGGAATATCGATGGCTGTTGGTTGTTCTGGTCCGGCTTCTAATAAAACAACTGTCCATTCTGGATTTTCTGATAAACGACTAGCTACCACAGAACCTGTAATGTAAAAGTTGTTATGAAATCCCTTATAATATAATCCCTGAATTGTATTTTACGAATTTCTCTAAAAAATATTTTGATATCAAAATATTTGAAATATTTAAATATTTAAATTATTGGATATTCTCTGAATAACTAAAAGATTAAATTTTAATTTTTTTAAAAAATATGTTGTAATATGGTTGTAAGAAAAAATTTAAAATATTTGTTCACAATACGTTGTAGGAATTTCCTTAATTAATTATCAAACCTTATAAGAATTTTTAATTTTTGTATTTCGAATACGTATTTAAATACTACCAATGAAATGTATTAAAAATACGTATTTGAATATATATTTTTTTCAATTTTTTAAATAAAAATATAAATACTTTATCAATCAGTTCGGCTTCAGCTATCGTAGCAATAAGTCGTGTTTATTGTTACGCACCTGTGAATCCGGTTTTCCTTATACGTATAGTATTATCGTATTTAATTGTATATATCTAACTCACGTAAGTAGTCTCACATAATTTTTTCTTTTTAAGTTTCCGTATGCCCAATTCACCGGGTGAACCGGGCCGTCCACCTAATAACGGTTCTGGCCCCATAAAAGTAACTTTGCACAAAAACGAAAAGACTACGACGAATAGTCAACTGCCAGTGCGAAACGTAAGTCTAAAAAACTTCCTACCAGTCCGGTTTCTCCGAATCTACAATACCTATTAGATAATCAACCGCAACTACTCCCAGCTAACATACAATTTCGGTACAATATTAACGAATCAGATGATAACAATGAAACTAGTACGGCATATTTTAATGATGTCATTACTCTAACATCAGATAGTAATTCTAATACTATAGACATCGATAATGTTATGAATAACAATAGTGAACTTGATATATAATACAAATACGCCAAATAAGGTAAATTTTGCAGAAGAAAGGCACGGTGTGCCTGTTGTGGTGCTAACGATGATATTGCCACCGATTGCCCTAATAAAGACAACTCTACCCCGTCATGCTTACATTGCAAAGTATCCTATGAGGCTACAGATCGCTCATGTCCTGAATGGTCCCGTCAAAAGGAGATTAAAAAAATCATGGCTGTTGAAAACATTTCGTACAACGATTCCATTTTTATATTTAAGAATAACATTGTTAATAAATCTAAAACTTTTTCGAATAGTGTCTCAAGCAATGAAAATATTATAAATAACGCCAGTGCTCCTCAAAACCCTATATCTATAGAATCTTTTCCGAGCTTGACACAATCATTCTCCAAAAAAAGTAAAAATAAGTATCATGGTAATAAAAACAGTGTTCAAACTATCAATCCACATTTTGTCTCTAATAAAAGTAATGATTGGTCTTCTCCCAATTGTTCGTTTCTCGAATACATGTCCACTAACTCCTATGCTCAACCTGCTGAAAAATCCTGGATCACTTCTTTGGCTAATCAACTCTTTTCAGCTGTATACAACATTACTTTCTCTACATTATCATCCCCCTCAACCCTTAATCAATTAATTGAGTCTCACATCCTTAACTTTCTCTCTTTATCATCTAATAACAGTTTGCAGTAATATCCTCATCTCATCACATTTTATCATCATTATTATTATTTCATTTTATTTATTTATTTTTTCTAACTCATTGTCCTTATGACTTTTCATGTATATGCATTTGTCTATGTGCATATTTTTATTTACTTATTTATATCCTATTTATATATATATATATTATTTTACATGAACATAAGGTTTATATGTATCTGTCATTTATTTTCTTATTCCCTTTCCCTTTCTCCTTTTACTTTTACTACAATAACTAAATGTTAAATATTTTGCAATGGAATATTAGAAGTATCTTATCTAGAACACAAGATCTTGCATTTCTTATCTACCAAAATAAATGCCAAATTGTTCTACTTTCAGAAACTTGGTTACTTCCAAATAAAAATTTTCACCTTTCAAATTTTAACTCAGTCCGCTCTGACCGACAAGATGGTTATGGCGATGTCGCCATCTTGATCCATTCCTCAATTCAATTTCGTTCCATTACACTTAATAACAATCTGAAACAAATGCTCAGTACCTTTTCAATCTACCTAGTTGGTATCAATGTATTAATGCCGGACAATAACACCTTTCAACTATGGTATATTTACATTTCTCCTTCATCTAATCCCTCTACTCTAATAGTTTCTGAAATTTTTAAACTACTCTCCAATAACTCCATTATTGCAGGAGATTTTAATGGTCATCATTCTGCCTGGGGTTCACTAAACTCCAATTATAGAGGCAATATTATTCACTCAACCATCAGTCAGCATAATTTATGTATTCTGAACACAGGCGCTCCAACTAGAGCTAACCGGCCACCGTTCCCGGATACTGCTGTTGACCTAACAATATGCTCCCCTAACATTTCCTTGTCCTCTTCTTGGTACGTTTTAGGTGATCCTCACGGTAGCGACCACTATCCTATTGTAACAAGTCTTTCAATACAGCCCACTCAGTGTTCGGGTCGCTTTAACTGTGTCTCTTCCTCCAATGTAAAATTATATAAAATCCTCCTCAATAATTATACAAATAATTTCCTTCATTCATTCAGCTGGCTTCGTTATATAATATTTTTCTATATGTTAATTTAATATCCTAGGTCTATTTTGTTTTGTTCTTTCTTTTTTAGTATTTTGAGTACGTTTAATTTATTAATTTAACGATATGTTTAATAACAATATTTTTTTTCCTTTGTGTAGTCTTAGTTTCTATTGTATAGTTTTATTTTAATCGTTTAGCTATAATAATACTTCTGTATTGAAAGCTAATAAAAAAAAAAAAAAAAAATACTTTATAAGTATTTCAAAAGTGTTAAGCGTACAACAATCTATTTTTTTTTATAGGGGAGGATGAGCCTAGCTCCTTTTCATAGCAAATTTATTTGTTTATTAAACAAAAAAATCTAATCTCAAGTCATATTTCTGTAGTGTTATTTTTTTGTAGTAAAATAAATAATACTCTTAAACAAATCAAAGAAATTTAATTGGAATGATATACTTAAGACTCATTACTCAATCATTAATTATTAAATGTGTTTTTATAACACTATCATTTGTTAATCTGTATAGTATTTTCTACAACGCTTGTTATAATTTATTAATTTTAAATGTAAACTGCGTCTTAAATAGGTAGTGAATAAAACATGATATAAATAGTACTATGGTAATGCTTTGCAAATGAAAAAATATAATAAATATAAATAGTGAAACGAGAAAAAATTGTCTAATATTTATGAAAAGTATTTAACAAGTATTCATAAAACATTTTTTAAAAGGTATTCGTTAACTTTACATGCATAATAACTATAGTTAATTATAATTTTATTTATGATAAATTTTATTAGAATATTTACTAAAATATTTACTAAAATATTTAAATATATATGTCAATAATATATTACTAGGCTTCGCCTAGTTAGGGCTTCGCCCCAGACCTCTAGCGCGTAAGCCTCAATGGGCCATTTTCGCAAGTAGGCCACTGATTCTGGTAGGAATAACCGGATACGCCATGTTTTGCAGGGAAAATATTTCATCAGAATCAGTGTAACAAAAATATATTAAAAATTTAATTATTAAAATTAAGAAAATTCAAAAAGAGAATATAGTAAAATGTATTGGGTATAAGATTGACGTTTGTTAATGAGATATTCCCCATAGGCATATTCAGAAATTATTTTAGGAGGGTATTTAGTATTTTTTTTTTTTTGTTGAACATGCTATAGAATTGCTTTGCTAAAAATCAAAGTTACGAACAAAAAAAAGGCCATTAGGTCTTTATTTATTAGAAGTTATCTAAAAAAATATTGATAGCGTTGGTTCAAGGGAGGAAATGGCCCATATCCCCCTCAAATACACTCCTGATATACACAATAATTATTAATATTCTAATTATAATAGTTGTATTTATATTATAGAATAATTACAAAAAAGTTGGGTTGGTTATTATACCTAGGACTATATAAAAAAATATTAATTAAATAAAAATATTAGTAACTGCGATTTGACGTTGGACAGCATAGTTATAAATGAATCCCAATTTTTACGATAAACTTATAGACTCATACATCATATATGAGATATAAAAGGTTATTATAATTGTACGGTTCTGATAATGAATGTACAAACTTATATACTTATAATCGTCTAGAAATTTATATAAAACTTATAAATATAATGTAACATATAATATTCTTTGATAAAATATATGAAATATAGTACTATGCGGAAATGCAAAATAGTGTCCTAATATAAACTTTGCATGGACATAAAAAATAAGTTCATAGTGAAAAAAGTACAATTGAACAGTAAGCTCATTATAAAGCAAAAGTTCAAACAAAAGATATATTAACAATAAACATGAATAAATATATCAACAAATTTGAATTATAAACTTATTTAAAAGAAATCGACAGAAAGTAATAAACTAAAACAATCAATTCATATATGACAACAATTACATATATTAATTATGAATTGAATAGAAAATTAAATCGTCATAAAAATACATATTTTACAAATTAAGGGTCACAATAAACATATGCGTAGAAATGAGTCATTGCCCATATTAACACCATGTGCGTGGACATAAATTTAAAAAAATAGGTCGTAAAACGATGAAAAATTAATGGATTGAATTGATTTTTGTAGGATATCTCAGAAATGTCATTGAGCAAGTCTGATGAAAATTTCAATCCTTAAGTCATAAAACACTGGCATTGGCGAGTGTTTTTCTCAAAAATGGTCGAAATTTTAAAACGCTCGCAGGCTCGCGGCAAAAATGACCTTGGCCAATAACTTACTCGGAGACTTGTGACCGAGTACTTTCGTTGAAAAAAAAATTTGAAAACCCGAGCACGTTAAGTAATTTTTTCATAAAAGCGTTTTTTCTAGTTCTATCATATAACAAAATATGGTTTTAAGCGATTTAAATAAATGGTTAATTTTTAAAATGATTGATTAAAACTAGTTTAAAACGTTAACAAAACTTAAAAGACTGGATATTAACTTGTTAAAAAGTTAAGTTAATTTAATTAAGTTTAATTAAATAACTCATTACTTTTTTAAGCGATTTAACTTTTAATTTATTTTGTTACTTTTTTAACTTGAATTAATAATGTGTTTCAAGTTAATTTTAAGTTAATTCAGTTCAGTAATATTAAAATTTCGTTAAATATGCATTTCACGATTGTCAGTAATTTTTTATATCCTTACTGTATAATCTATTATTTATTCTTAATGTACATTTTATACTAAACAATAATTTTATGATATACTGACTTTGAAATTTCTTAGTAAGTGGTTAATAAACAAATACAAATTTAAATAATAAAATATTCCTTATATCGTTTACTACAATAAACAACTATTAATATTATACTTTATAACTATATTATAGCTTTATCGTGTCCTTAACTATGATGTATGCTTACACTAAATAAAAAACGCATTACTCCACTCGCACACCCCCAGCATATGATATTTTTAAATATAGAATAGTGTATTATCCATTATTATCGAAAAAAATTGTGATTTATGTTCGTTATTATTTATTGGTGATATATGTCGATTGTTAATATCAAATGTAAATTCATTCTAAATTTATAAGAAAGGTCAATGTATAAAAGAACAAATATTTTTATTTTCTGCTATTTTCTTTTCTATTGAACTTAATAAAATAATCGCAGTTTTTCTTTAAAAGCTTATTAAATTTATTATTGTTACCACCAACTCCTCCACCAACAACTATAAAGTCTGCTTCTTCTATTGTATCATCTAAATTATCCACAATTTTTCTACAACCATTTACTAAATGACAATCTGATCTGATTAATATGTCTGCGACGGTCATAAAATCATGTAATCGCGGGTATGCTTGACATCGATTTTTTAAGAATGGTGGCTCCGTGTAATTTTTTGAATAGCAAAATTCTAATCGTTCAAAATAAACCAAAAACAATTAATAAATAAGTTTATATTTGTGATAGACGAAAAAACGCACCGTTTGCATTTGTAGTCTGAATAGAGAGCACAATTTTTACATGAAAATATGATTGAAAAAAATATATTAAAAATATAGTTTGTAATTTACGTTTAAGTATCATACTTTTTTACTAAGATATAATTAAAAATATTCAAATGAATTTACGCACACGTAAATTAACTTCGTGCGAGCATTTCTATGAGAAAGAACTAAATTACCAAATGTCATTCCAGTTTCAACAACTGCCAAGGTAAATTTTATTAACTATAAGGTCTAAAAAAACTTTATAAATTGATTTTTAATTCTTAACTACTCTACCTTAATGTAAAACAAAAAGTACTTGTAATTCTAAAATCAGTAAACCCGAATTCCGGTTTGTGATAAATTTAAGTTAATTGAACTCTCAGTTAATGAAGATATATATATATATAAATTAAAGAATAGGTAATAGAATGTATTCATGTAATTAATATGTAATTTAAGCGGTATATAGTACAATGTGTTCATTTTAGATTAGTTAGTAAGCATCAATAAAAGTTTTTTAGTTGAGCAATTATCATTAACTGAAAGAAGACACGATTGAATTAAGGGACTAAGTAACTAATTTAAATAATTAAATATATATATATATATATATATATATATATATTATTATCTGTCATTTGACCTTGATAAACAATGTAAAATATACGGTTTAATATCGATTATGGCTTGTATTTATTAATAACAGTAAATAATAAAAAAATTACTGATTCAATACATATTATGGGTAACCTTAAAATACGTTATATGTATAGTATTTTTTTTTTTTTTTAATTTATGAGTCAACTTTTAAACGATAAGTTGAAAAGTTTTAACTACCAAAAATTTATAACAATTCCCGATTAACATTTTGTAATAAAATGATTGTGACTGATTATATCTGCATTTTGTTTTTAATATTTAATATTGAACCATGATTCAATATTTAATTTCCAATATTTTTGTAATAATTTTATTAAGGTATTATATGAATTTAATTTCATAATTAACCCTTGTAAGTCAATTATTTTTTTTCTCCTAAAAAATATTCCCTAATAGCTTTTGGTAATGATAATAATTTCAGTATAAGTGCAATATTATGATAAAACAATGAAAAATTAGCCAATGCTAGAAAAATTACATAACGACGTATAATTTACAAATTTTTTTTTAAATGAAAGAGTTCAACGACGTTATTCTAGTAAAATTATTTGCGAAGATGAGAATATTTTTTGTAGTACACCTAAAGCATTTAAAATTTTTATCAAAAATGCTCATCGCCAGCGTTTTTAAATTTAAATTCTGAAATTTTTACTAGACTTGCAAAAAGACATTCCAAAGTTACCTCGTAATTGTCGTTTAAATCTGGTCATTTTTACCAGAGTTTTTTTTTTTTTAATTCCTCGTGCATAGTTTTTAGTAGGATATTAATGTGGTTTGCACACATCAAATTTGTTTAAATTTTATACAAGTATACAAGCGTACTAATAACACGGCATTTCAAGATTACTTAGGAATAATCTTAAATATTTTAGAGTCATTTTATTAGGTAACTTTTTAGTTTGGGTATGAAGTTGAGAAAGTATTAATTTTATTTTTTATTATGTGTTTATATTTTTTTTGTGTCTGTTGCCATTTTTTCACAGTTCTCACTGGATTGATTTTTTTCAATGATACGTCAAAAGATCAAAAATTATATCTAGTAGAAGACATTACCTTTGAAAATTGAAAAAAATTCCTTTTTTCCCTATAAATATTTCAAAAACCTCAAAAAATTTCGATTTTTAAATTTGTTAATTTTGACATTTTTTTTCTTAAAACTGCTATAACTTTTTGAAAAATGAACGATTAAACATAAAATGTTTGAAAATCTGACCCTTAACCTCCTACCCACAAGAGAGGATTCAAAATAGTAACTGTTTTACAAAACTAACTTTTTCAACTTATCTTTTAAAAATATTCCGGAAATAATGCGTCCTTCAAACATATTTCAAATTAAAGCTTATATTATATCCTATAAAATGAAAAAAAATTTTCCCGATGACTTATCTTCTATGTGCAAACAACTGCCGTAATTAAAAAACATACTATTTTTGTGTTAAAATTTTCGGTTTTAAAATTTTCAACATTAAATTGCTATAACATTATGAAAAATGTATAGATTAACACAAAATTTTTGTTTCTAAATTTATTATTTATAAACCTTTCATTCGATTTGATCGATTAGATCAAACAATTTCTCCTCATACAGGGAACGTTCAAAACTTGAAACATACGTATAAAATGTAGAACTTTTTTTACTTCATTTTTTTTAAATATTCGGTATATACTGCGTCCTTTAAACATATGTTAAATCATAGTTTATATTATGTTCTATAATATAGAAAAATGGTAGCACAGTAGATTCATGGCATTATATGGACCTGGCATAGTTGGGACAAGTATAGATTTAATCTGACACTATTAAAATCATTATCATAAGAAACGCTATGATGCAAATCTGTAGATAGGGTTTAATTCTAAGAAATAGGTGGATAATTACAAAATCAACATCAACTTCTATTTACTTAATTATATTCAGATTAGTAGTTCTTAGATTAAAAAATATAACTTTTGTAATTAATGCTTTCAAATTATTAGTGATTTTGATTTTTAATATGTTAAAAGTAATAATTTTGAACCTACTTTTTTTTGTCCTTTAAAGTGAAAGTTTATAATAAAAAAACAAAAGAAATTTACTATCATAACTTTTAGCTCAACTTGCAAGTTTGAAATTGACATTATTAAATAGAAAAAAATGAAATTGTTAAGATTAATATGCAATTAGGAAATTTTATAATTATTATTTACAGTACATTTATCAGTAAAGTTAGATTTTTTTTACATTTTTATCGTAATAGATCACTTAAATAAAAATCTTAGTAATCATGTCTAATTAACTTTTGGTGTTTAAAAAGATTCTACAATGGAAATATTCAGAACTTAATTAATTTTAATGATTTACATTAAATAAAAGAAGAATGTTGAAGGAAGAAGAGGTAAAGGAAGATAAAGAAAGAGATGGAGAGATGTTATTGAATGATATATGAGGACAGCTGATGAGAGCGTAGATGATGTGGGAGATCTTGTCAAGTGGAATTTTAGGATAAGGGAGGCCGACCCCAAGTAATTGGAATTAAGGCAAGGAAAAAGAAGATGAAGACTTTAAAATTAGCTATTTAAGCTAACTCAAATTTAAAAATTACTTTTTCGACTTTAAAAAAGTAAAAAAATTTAATAAGTTTAATATCTTGTCTTATGAACTTTATTCTATGTCAATTAAATTATACAATAATCATGAAAGTCAATGTATTCCCCTAATAAGATATTTTAAAATAAAATAAAATACAAAACCCAGAATTTTAATACAAAAATAGCATATTTTTGAATACGTTAGCCATTTACGCATAGAAGATAGGTTCTAGGACAAATTGTTTTATTTAATTTTATAGTACATGACATAAGCTTTAATTTGACATATGTTTAAAGGACGCAGTATTTCCGGAACATTTTCAAAAGTTAAGTAGAAAAAGTTAGTTTTTGTAAAAAAGTTGCTATTTGAAATCCCCCCTGTGAGCAGAATAAGTGTTATATTTTCAAAAAAAATGATATCAAATGAAAGGGAAATATCTAAGGTTTCAAAATAAAAAAATATTATTTTGATTTGTTAATATTGGAAAAAGTTATGGCAGTTTTAAGTATAAAAAACATTTTTATAGAAGGTGATTTCTATCGCAAATATTACATTTTTTTTAAAATGTTGACAGCAAATTGCACATAGTAGATAAGGTGTCGGGACATATTTTTTTTTTTTATTTTATAGTATATAACATAACCTTTGATTTGATATATGTTTAAAGGACGCAGTATTTTTGGAACATTTTCAAAAGTTAAATTGAAAAAGTTCTACTTTTTATACAATGTTTCAAGTTTTGAACGCCCCCTATATAAGGAGAAATTGTCCAATTTTAATAAAAAGTATGTCAAATGAAAGATATATTTATAGTATATTTAGAAAAAAAAAATTGTGCTGATACATACATTTTTCGAAAAGTTATAGTATTATTAAATTGAAAATTAAAAATCAAAAATCGAAAATTTTAACACAAAAATAGGGTTTTTTTATCTACGGCAGCCGTTTACACGCAGAAGATAAAGTGTCCGAACAAATTTTTTTTTTCATTTTATATTACATAAAATAAGCTTTAATTTGATATATATTTATAGGACGCAGTATTTCCGGAACATTTTCAAAAATTAAGTTGTAAAAGTTAGTTTTTGTAAAAAAGTTGCTATTTTAAATTCCCCCCAATGAGCAGGTTAAGTGTTAAATTTTCAAAAAAATGATATCAAATGAAAGAAAAATATCTAAGATTTTAGTATAAAAAAAAATTATGTTGATTTGTTTATTTTTGAAAAAGTTACGGCAGTTTTTAGTAAAAAAAATTGAAAAAAATTACAAAATTTACCAATTTTTAAATTTGTAATTTTTTTGTATATTTCCTCCATTTGCGGGGAACGAGGGAAAATTATTCAATTTTTAAGCATGATGTCTTCAATTATATACGATTTGTGATCTTTTGACGTATTGTTGAAAGAAAGCGGTCCAGTGAGAGCTGAGAAAAAGTAGTGACAGACACAAAAAAAATAAAAATAAATAAACACATCATGGTAAAATTAATACCTTTTCAGCTTCGCATCGAAGCTAAAAATGTTTCACTAGAACCGCCACACAGGCACACACACACACTTATCTATTATTTCCTTTTTTTTCCCTCCACGAATCATTGGTAACACATTGAAAAAGGGTTCTTTAACTAAGAATAATAAATAGTAACATTTGATTGTTGAAGGGTGCACGTGCGATGAAAAAAAATAGCGGATGCGTATGGCGTGATGGTGTTAACTATGTGCTTGGCTGTGATTAAGAACAGAAAATATTGATTCTGTATAGTATTTGTAGTGAGAAATTTGTGTAATAAGATAGAATCTTTGTGAGTGTTGTGAAATGAAAGGAAAGAGAAAAAATAGTGTTTTTATGTATAGGGCCCATTACAACACATAATACAATTTTATTAATATTGATGATACCTAAGATAAAGTTAACATTGAAATATTATTAAATTATTGTGATGACCTTCGTCAAAAAATGTAAACTTTATATTCTATACATTTCGCTATTTACTATTTATGAATTTTACTCATTTTATTAATTAAATGTCTACTATATTTCTGTTAAACTGCTTCTAGAGTATTTCTTTTCTTGCACA